ATCTTTGACGTTGTACCTCGAAACCCATGAGTATCTACCTGGTGTCACCGATGGATATGGCCTCCGTGTTAATCTGCACGCCCCGAACACCGTACCCTTTCCAGAGGAAACTGGCTTCTTCGTTCCAGGAGGCCAGGAAAGCAGCATTGCTCTCAAACAGGTAGCCATATTATATGGATATGACCGTATAATATTTTGTTAAAAAGTAATGAATCATAATTTTCCTGATATTTGTATCTGGAATTCTTATAATAAAAATACACGGAAGCCGATTAAATTCATAATTACATGAACATAAATGTTATGCCGAAAAAAACAAAATGAAATTTTAAATATTGTACAGGTAAAAGTAAAACGAATAAATGAATACCGATAGAGATCGTTACAGATGATTATTACATTGTATATAACATTTTTGCGGGTTTCAGTGCTCACACAGCTAAACCATTTACTATATGTTACTACAAAATAAGCTTTTGAGCTAATAGCGTTAATATTTCGAAGTTCAACTCTAGTGGCAACTGTCTAGATTCACAGATACATACCTGGCAAAGGCTTCAAAAGACTGTTTTGGTGAGTTTGGTTGCATAAAGAAGCGCTACAGACGTCTGCTTTTGACAACCGGAAGTTTACAAGCCAAACCAGTGAAGTGGGACGGGAACCCCCCCCCTGACATTTGACCCCATATCAATCCACCATTGCATTTTAAAATCTACTAAAACCATACATTTGTCTTAAGTTCAATATCTGAAGATTTCATTCAATGTAAAATATGTCAACAATTACCTATTTAAATTACTCAGAGGCACTCTATTAACCCGGACCAATTTTTAGATATGGATTACAATCGTATGAAACACTTGCTGATTGGCTGATTTAATTGTGTGAGTCCTTCATGCATATCCCCGTATGGTTTCGGTATACACTACTTGATACTAATCTGAACGTCTGTAGATCTTAGTCTTAATTAAAAACTGTAAAAATAGCTTTTCGATATGTTATGAACACGATGTATTGTCTTTGTCTGTTTTATGAATTAACGTAAATGAAACGTATTCTTTAATTATTATTTATTTCATTTAAGACGAAGATTACCAGAATTGATGCACCATACGGAACATGCGCCACAGATGACGAGTTCAAAACTTTATATAACAAGGGCTACAACCGACAGGTATATACTGTAATGTTCAACTATAGTGTGAATCACGATATTCACTTAAACATTGACACAGTAAACTATAGTGTAGATCATGAAGTACACTTAAACATTGGAACAGTACAACTAAAGTATGAATCACGATATTCACTTAAACCTTAAAACAGTAAAACTATAGTATGAATCACGATATTCACTTAAACATTGACACAGTACAACTAAAGTATGAATCATGTTATTCACTTAAACATACAGACAGAAAAAAAACTATAGTGTGAATCATGATATTCACTAAAACATGGAAACAGTAAAACTTAAGTATGAATCATGTTATTCACTTAAACATGGAAACAGTACAACTTTAGTGTGAATAATGATATTCACTTTAACATTGGAACAGTACAACTAAAGTATGAATCACGATATTTACTTAAACCTTTAAACAATAAAACTATAGTATGAATCACGATATTCACTTTAACATTGACACAGTACAACTTAAGTATGAATCATGATATTCACTTAAACATGGAAACAGTAAAACTATAGTGTGAATCATGAAATTCATTTAAACATGGAAACAGTAAAACTATAGTGTGAATCACGACATTCACTTAAACATTGAAACAGTACAACTATAGTGTGAATCATGTTATTCACTTAAACATGGAAACAGTAAAACTATAGTGTGAATAATGATATTCACTTAAACATTGGAAAAGTAAAACTAAAGTGTGAATCATGATATTCACTTAAATATTGAAACAGATAAACTATAGTGTGAATTATGATATTCACTTTAAAATTGAAACAGATAAACTATAGTGTGAATCATGATATTCGATCTCGAATTCAAGCATATCGCGAAGCATCAACAAACTAGTATATGTTATGGTTTATTTTCTGCCAATATTACTGTGTGTGTAATCATAGAAGTCAATTTTAACGTAAAAAAAGCTGAAATTGTGTAAGCATAATATAAATGGCTTCTATGTTTGAAACAATACAAAATTAAATAAAAATAAGGAAAAGAATCGTCAATTTTGTTGAACCTTTAAACAAAGGCATTCTTATTAAACCTTTGTATTGTTTATACCAGTCATGTCTGTACCTGTGTAAAACGACACTAACGCTACAGACATGTGGCTGTTATGATCCATTGAATGCAGAGGTCCTAATTACTGGAGGCAGTTCCAAAAAGGAATGTACATCGCAAGCAGGTAATGCTTATCCCTAAGAAAAACTGAAGCTTTGATTTTCATTTATTTTCGTTTTTATTTAAAATAGCTTTTTATTTCATATTTGATTTCTGTTGTTCGTGTTTACATAAAGTTATCATTATATTCATAAGAAAGGATCACAACTCCGTCTCGCTAAGCTGTGTAAAACAATCAATAAAAAGACAAATTCCAGGGGTCACGATACACAAATCACTTAATATGAAAACAAACTCCCAGTTGTCTCGGCACTTATGTAACGATTAAATGATCACAAGCTTCCAGTGCCATATTAAATGATATGATTACAAACCGGCGCAAACTTCTAAGGTATTGTTTCTTGTGTTATATTCTGGTGCATACTAGTTGTCAGATATAGTTAAATGACTAATAACAAATAATTGTACATTCCTCAGTTATTTAAAATGAACTTTTACCAATGTGCTTATTTGCAGAATTAATATGCATGATAAAAACCGCTATTCAGCTTACGAAAAAGATCTTGACCTGTGATTGTCCAAATCCCTGCACGTAAGTTGCTTTATCCTAAACTACAAGACAAGCCTGACCATTCTTTTTGGTCCGATATTGACCGTTAGAAAGTATTGACAAGTTGATTATCCGGCATACTCATTTAAAGTGTGTTCATTATCCGGAATGCCCTTATACAATTGGTCGATTATCCGAACTGCCCCTATACAATTGGTCGATTATCCGAACTGCCCCTTTACAATTGGTCGATTATCCGGAATGCCCATATACAATTGGTCGATTATCCGGAATACCCATATACAATTGGTCCATTATCCGGAATGCCCCTATACAATTGGTCGATTATCCGAACTGCCCCTATTATCCGGAATGCCCATACTCAAGTAGATTGCTCCCGTTTCGAATGGGAACTTTAGGGTCATATAGAAGGTTTTGTTGTTGATTTGCCCAGTGCACGTCTAGCCTGTTTTTGAGCCATTTAAACTATTTTTTGCTGTCACCAAATGTTCCAGAGAGTTGTATCACCCTGCGTTTTGGGAAATGTTTCCTCCTGTCTGAAGAACTGAACTATGGATGCATTCTTCTAAAGCTGTGCCTGATGCATCGTGTCATGCTCCCTTGCCTTCCCCTAGCTAGCTGAATCCTTACAGCAATATGTATTTAATAATTATTACATAAACCATATCGCCTATTGTGTCGACTATACGGCTTTGTTGGTAGGCTTGGTTTCTGAAGACGTTCAGGAAAACTGAAATACTGACATTTTTTCTTACGGACCTGGTGTGACCCCTGCAGGTTTTTTTTAACGGAATGAATTATGCAGGGTTATCAGACTTGACAAGCGAAGTCCATGTGTGTAGACTTAGGGCTCTTATGAATTGGTATATAGGTCATTTTAGAGGCTGCAAAATCCTCCTAATTTAGGCAAACATTACGTTGACATTCTTTATATTCACTTATATTTTGTTTGAAATACATATAAGTGTCCCCATCCTCGATATCCACGCGTTACGTTCACTTTCGCTCTCTCTACCACTGGAATATGTCATAGCAAAATTGAACGCACGAAGATGGCTGTTTGATTGGTCGCAGGTAAAATAAAAAGACCAATCGCTAGGCTGATACCTGTCCTTTGAAGATTCAAATCCTGTCAATTTTTACGGTTACGTGACCGCGAGATTCTTTTCTTGGACATCAAAGGATCGAACTAGTCTTCTTGTCTCATCAACAAGGTGGCGCATGCCGAGCCTTCATTTTTGCTACGATATATTCCAGGGGTGCAGAGAGCGAAAATGAGCTTAACCCCTGGATACTGAGGATGCAGTAACCCTTATAACCTTCTCGATTTCGGTTGTTTTATTTTGTATTGCTTGATTTAAACGAGGAATAACTTAATATGTAAAGCTAGTAGCGCTTTACCCAGAATCACTTACATACATCTGTGTGGATCGAAATCCTGCCGCATCATATGGTCATCGCCTTTAGATCTTACCGAGGACTTGTTGTGATATCCTCTGCATATATGCTTACATAAAATGACCTTGGGTGAAACCTTATTTATAACTGTATGCTTTAAAATGTTTGCAGAGAGAATTCTTACTATCAAGCACTGACCTCCCGACAATGGCCGACCAACGATTATGCAGTAAGTGATTTTATTAGCTCATTTGACACGAAAGAACTTTTAAAGAGAGCATTCTTCATAAAGTAAACATAAGCGATGGTTTAGTTAAACATCTCCCAAAGCGGTAACTTTTACGTTATATCTTCGTCCCAATGCTTCCCCCCGTAGTAATTTCGGCAGGTGAGTAGATGTTTCTCTCCCATGTCGGTGTATATCCCACTAGCTTGTCTACACTTGTAGAAACATAACGATGTGAAGTTTGGAAAATATTTTAATATTCAAATTTTTCCCCGGAAGAATAAATATGCAGGGTATGTGCCGGCCGGTAGATATGAAATTAACATGTAAATAGACATAAAGCTATTGGTAAATAAACATGTATTAAACGTGTGCTTGAAAAGGTGGAATTAACATATAATGTATGTGTTAGTTGTATAAAATGTAGATCGGATGGTCTACGGTGGATAACGTTTTACGTAAGATTTATGTCAAAACAGATTATGATAAAATGGTCCTTTTTACATTCTAATACTTCTAATATCAAAACACATATAAAGCTAAATAATCATAAACCATGAAAAGAGCTAAACAAATGTTCATTATGCATTTATATCTGTTTACTTGTAACGGGTTTGGACAAGAAATCATCCTGCTATGCTCCCTTGTAGTTAATACTTAGTATTGAAACAAGGTTGTTTACGCATTTATCTATATTTATTTGCAGCGGTTTTAGATAAGAGTCCATCCCGCTATGCTCACTGGCAGTGGATTCTCAGCATTGCAACAATGTTCATTATGCATTGATGTATGTTCATTTGTAATGGGTTTTGACAAGAACCCATCCTGCTACGGCAGTTCAAAACACATTATGCTACAAAAATGCTGCGTTAAGTTGCCACATTCTACAAAATCATTAATATCTGATAAAATCGTTAAATATAATTGCCACATTCCACGAAATCGTTAATATCAGATAAGATCATTAATTATGATATGTCACATTCTATGAAATCATTAATATCTGATAAAATCATTAATTATAATTTGCCACATTCTACGAAATCGTTAATATCAGATAAGATCATTAATTATAAGTTGTCACATTCTACGAAATCGTTAATATCAGAAATAGTCATTAATTATAATTTGCCACAATCTACAAAATCATTAATATCAGATAAAATCAGTAATTATAGTTTGCCACATTCTACGAAATCATTAATATCAGATAAAATCATTAATTATAATTTGCCACATTCTATAAAATCATTAATTTCAGATAAAATCTTTAATTACAATTTGTAACATTCTACAAAATCGTTAATATCAGATAAGATCATTAATTATAATTTGTCACATTCCACGAAATCGTTAATATCAGATATAGTCATTAATTATAATTTGCCACATTCTATAAAATCATTAATTTCAGATAAAATCATTAATTAAAAATTGTAACATTCTGCAAAATCGTTAATATCAGATATAGTCATTAATTATAATTTGTCACATTCTACGAAATCGTTAATATCAAATATAATTTGCCACATTCTACAAAAATCATTTATATCAGTTACAACTTTCCATAATTTGCTACATTTGTTTTACCAATAAGGCCCTGCTGATGAGGAAGTCCGTGTGTGATCGCTTTCCGCAAGATGATGACTGCGTATACCTGACATTTCAGTCGGAAGAGAGTCTCAGGTACATACATTTCTATCTTGTTTGCTTTCTATCAACAATAACCAGAGTTATTCACCTAATTATTAAGTCTGGCGAAAGTGCAACGAATCGTCGCTTGGATAAACTGATGTAGTATTGTTTTAGATGGTATTCCTCTATAATCCACTGTGTGCCTACACATAGAAGAATTCGTATGATAACTGGAAAATGAAAAGTGTGTCGTGAATGATGAACCTAAGACATGCACTGGGCTGCACCTGTAAATGTAGTGGTAAAAATAATAATATAATATACAGCGTTTGACATAGCACCCTATCAAGCTAACTACAATTAGCATACACATTAATCAATACAATTTTGAAGAATTCGCAGGATCTGCCGTACCAGGCGCTTACTTCTAGTCCTATGCCACCTGGCTAATATCTCCCTATGCGTGTGTATGCATGTGTGTGTGCTAGAGATATTATGCGTTCTGTGTGTAGTGGGACCGTGCTTCCAACGGCCCTCACACTGCACCATACAGCTGTGCCGTCCTTCTAGGACTCAACAGTGATGCTAGGGGCCGAAAATTTAATTTAAATTGATCTAAACTATAATGTCGACTGTTATTACCCTCTGTTTCCGTTGTTAGTGTTTTCTTATTGACTTCAATTTCTCGCTATTGGTTGAGATGGTGGCCGTTATTTGATTTGGACAAACACTGGTGTTCTCCATGATCGTTTTACTGCAACTCGTAAACCCCAATCTTAATCTTATATCATTAGGAATAAGACAGTTGTGAACGATAAATCTATTATTTGCACTCTCGAAGTTTTCAGTGGAAGAAACGTATGCAGCCAATTGGAAGTCGATTGAGGAGGGGGAGGGGGGTAAAAATAAAGTATTTTTTTTTATTAAGGAAGCCCCAATTAGTTGATAAATTTTGAAAATGATATATTAACTCAAGTACTCTCATCAAGATATCTTTTTGCCTGATTTTGCGCTGTTGTCCACGTAACACTGTTGTAAGAGTTTCATCATAACAAGAACAGTTCTAAGCTATCATTGTGTCAACCCAAGATAATATTTTTTTAATCATATACTCTGGACTTAAAACGAATAATATTTGAAACGTGTTTTCATTTTCTGTTATTGCAGGAGAAACTTTGTAAAACTGTCCGTTTATTATGAGCAACTAAACTTCCAATCAATAACAGAGGAACCTGATATAGGGGTGAGTATATTAAGTACGTGCCATTGGTGGAGGTAGTATACACAAAGTACAGGTTATCGATTGCGCTTTTTGCTATATATTTGGTTCTTTTTTGTTTCTTTGTCGTATTAACGTGAATGCTAATATTTTAAATTAATAATTATCAGTGACTCCTATTTGGGATATCATACTTCATTACTGGGTTATTCCTCATACAACCAGATCGAAGGTAATCTACTTTATCTTACGAAATGCGCGACAAAGGGTTCAATCAATTTCGTTGTTATCCGTTGTAAGAGGGAATGATTTGTCTAGTGGTTATGTGTTATTAAAAACGAATAATGTTAAAATAGCCATGTTGCTACTTTCAGTGTTATTTCAACATCTTTGTCAACACAATCAATGAAAGTTAGTATATACATGGAATAGATACATGTAGCAAAGTGTGTGCATTTGACGATAATCGATAATATTAATTGTTCTGTTTATCATTCTAGAATGCCCAATTTGCTTCGGACTTCGGCGGTGCTATAGGACTGTGGATTGGCCTGTCAGTCCTTAGCATGTGTGAAATATTATATTTGTGTGGTATGATAGGGGGCCATTTCATGCGATCGTCCGAACAAGAACAACCAAGAGAACACAGAAAACGGAACAGGAAACGTGCGTACCGAGACCTGGGATTTTCCGTCTCGCCCATCTATAGTTCATCGCTCCACTCAAGTTCACACAAAGACTGGTCACGGGAGCACCCTGATTCTCCAAGCTACAACACATCTCACCGTTCGGAGCCCTACTCTCCTGGCGGTTATGTCCAAGGAAAGAGGATTAACACAAGTAGAACCCGGATGTTACGTGCCGTCTTAGAAGAACGAGATTATTATGATGGAGAGCACAGAAAACCACGTAAAATGCCATACGGATATGATATGAATAACGGATATCCACATCAGAGATGGTGAATATATGAACCACTTTCGGCTGCGAAAGTTTCAAATATGAATTGTTTGAAATAAATTTGAAGCAATTATTTACTGATACTGATATTTCAAAGACAGTTTCAACAGCTATAAAAGGTGTGTTATCAGCAGTATTGAAATATCTAACCTTCGCAGAATAACGAACAAAAACAGCTAGCATGGCAAACGTTCTCTGATGTCTTTTAGGGGATGCTTATTAGATGACGGCTTATGATTGTAAGTAACATATATTATATCTTGTTTCCACGATCTCAACTTTCCGGTACTCCTCCGAGGATAAAGACTTGACCTGCTAAATACCATCTTATGGGGATCTGTTAATTTGTATTGATGGTCTATGTACAGATATTGATTTTACAGCATTTGATACAGCGCCCTAGATAGCTAACATAAGCCACTCTAAAGTGCTTTACAGTACGTATATATAAAATTAAAACAATAAACATATACATTAATCAATACTATTTTAAGGAATTCGCAGGAGCTATCTTATCAGGTGCTAACTACTATTCCTATGCCACCTGGCTAATAACTCCCTATGTGTGTATGCCCGCGTGTGTGTTGGAGATGTAACGTGTTTTGTTTGTAGTGGGACCGTGCTTCCAACGGCATCATTTGTAGTGCCACCTCACTTGAATGCTACAGCACATAAACCGCAACATCAACCCAAGACCAATGTATACTCCACCTGGGTTGTTGGAGTTGTGTGGGCAGGAGAAAAACATTTTTTTCTGAATATCCAAGCGTACGACGACTTCGGGGATCAAACCCCAGCAGCCTTCGTGGAAGGCCGGAGTGTTAACCACTCGACCAACCCGCCCAATATGAGCTAATCCTTGTTGTATGACAAGTGTGATAGATCTCAGAATACTTCACTATTTTTTTATTTTTCAGCATGTCATATGTTAACATTTACTTAATGTGAACTAATAATATATGTGAGAAAAAAGTTATTTTTCTACGCTTTTAAATCCAACAAAAGCATTTCTGTTGGGAGGCACGGTAGTCTAGTGGTAGGACGCCGCACTCGTGACCGAAGGGTTGCGGGTTGAGTCACGGCACGGCACCGTGTTGCATCTTTGAGCAAGATACTGTACTCCGCCTGTTCCAGTATACACAGCTGTAATTAAGTATGGGTTGGGGAGTGCTAGAATTATTGAATGCTAGACGTGAGCGCCGAAATGGCAGCACCTGCTGTATGCTCCCTAGGATATTGGCTGGTTGCAAAGACCCTATAACCACGGCGAATAATTTATGAACCGCTTTGAGACGACCTACGAACTAGGTGGTGATAAAGCGGTATATAAGAACCTCGAATTATTGTAAAATGATATACAATCAACTGTTTAATATTTGACGTCAATATATCTTTGTATTCATATTGTATTTTCTCTTGTTCATATTATCATATTTACATACATGGGGATGCTGCCTGATGCATTCTAAAAGAATTTAATATTATATTTCATTTTTTATCATACAAACATAATGTACTTTTAAGTACTTCATAACACAAACCACTAAGGTACAATGACAACAAAGAATTTTGTATAGATTTCTATTGCCAACTTTTCTTACCATGTTTGCATCGTTTGATCCTTTCAGTACAGCTCGCACCACTATGCACCATTTCGAGATATATTTATAAACCTTTTAATGACGGTTGCCATGACTTTGAAGCAGAATCCAGTAAATCGTTATATCGTAGGAAAGCCTGGTGGAAATGTGTGATTTGTTTTTACTTATACTGTTGTAAGCGCTATTCAATAGAATTCAGCAATTGATACATTTGGGAAAAGTGACATGACGATGGACTAGAGACGCAACTCTAATGAAAATATTGTATAAATACATTTCTTTCTTTTCATCACCTTCATAAATGATTGTGTTGAGTAGACCTTGCCACCAATGGCTATTGTTTTCGAATAAAACTTGAAAGGAGATTATGATTGCTTTATTTTCGTTGTGTCAAAAAAGGGTTCGGAAGTGGCACACATTCGAACTCAAAATGCACCATAACACGCTTTGGTCAGAGCGTAGAAGTCAAAATACACAATAACACACTTTGGTCGGAGCGTAGAAGTCAAAATACACCATAACCCGCTTTGGTCGGAGTGTAGAGGTCAAAATACACCATAACACGCTTTGGTCGGAGCGTAAAAGTCAAAATACACAATAACACGCTTTGGTCGGAGTGTAGAAGTCAAAATACACCATAACACGCTTTGGCCCGAGCGTACAAGTCAAAATACACCATAACACGCTTTGGCCCGAGCGTACAAGTCAAAATACACCATAACACGCTTTGGCCCGAGCGTACAAGTCAAAATACACCATAACACACTTTGGTCGGAGCGTAGAAGTCAAAATACACAATAACACACTTTGGTCGGAGCGTAGAAGTCAAAATACACCATAACCCGCTTTGGTCGGAGTGTAGAGGTCAAAATACACCATAACACGCTTTGGTCGGTGTGTAGAAGTCAAAATACACCATAACACGCTTTGGTCGGTGTGTAGAAGTCAAAATACACCATAACACGCTTTGGCCCGAGCGTACAAGTCAAAATACACCATAACACGCTTTGGTCGGAGGGTAGAAGTCCAAATTCACCATAACACGCTTTGGTCGGTGCGTAGAAGTCAAAATACACAATAACACGCTTTGGTCAGAGTGTAGAAGTCAAAATACACCATAACACGCTTTGGCCCGAGCGTACAAGTCAAAATACACCATAACACGCTTTGGTCCGAGCGTACACGTCAAAATACACCATAACACGCTTTGGTCCGTGCGTAGAAGTCAAAATACACCATAACACGCTTTGGTCCGTGCGTAGAAGTCAAAATACACCATAACACGCTTTGGTGCGAGCGTACAAGTCAAAATACACAATAACACGCTTTGGTCAGAGCGTAGAAGGCAAAATACACAATAACACGCTTTGGTCAGAGTGTAGAAGTCAAAATACACCATAACACGCTTTGGTGCGAGCGTACAAGTCAAAATACACAATAACACGCTTTGGTCAGAGCGTAGAAGTCAAAATTCACCATAACACGCTTTGGTCGGAGCGTAGAAGTCAAAGTACACCATAACACGCTTTGGTCGGAGTGTAGAAGTCCAAATTCACCATAACACGCTTTGGTCGGTGCGTAGAAGTCAAAATACACAATAACACGCTTTGGTCGGAGTGTAGAAGTCAAAATACACAATAACACGCTTTGGTCAGAGTGTAGAAGTCAAAATACACCATAACACGCTTTGGCCCGAGCGTACAAGTCAAAATACACCATAACACGCTTTGGTCCGAGCGTAGAAGTCAAAATACACCATAACACGCGTTGGTCGGAGCGTAGAAGTCAAAATACACCATAACCCGCTTTGGTCGGAGTGTAGAGGTCAAAATACACCATAACACGCTTTGGTCGGGGTGTAGAAGTCAAAATACACCATAACACGCTTTGGTGCGAGCGTACAAGTCAAAATACACAATAACACGCTTTGGTCGGAGCGTACTAGTCACATATATTCAGTAATACTAAAAACGTGACGTCATTTGATAGATCTGTTGTGTTGGTTTTATGTCGTTATGAGAAAACATCCTACGGTGACGTTCAACGTTAAGCAATCTATTGTGCAAAGGCCGTGCACTTTCGGTATAACACAGAAAAGAGTCCGATATTTAGACTTGGGGGAAAAAGTCGAAGCGATATCGTGATAACCAGCTGGACCCTTATGGATGAAAGACTTGACTCATCTATTTCATGTAAACACGTGGTTTTGCTATTGTGATAAACAAAAATGATGTGCGAATGGAAGAAAATAATTTAATCTTATCATTAAATTCGGATCTGTTTGCCAAATCACGAATCACATAACCAAACTTAACTTATACAAGATAGAAGTTCTATTGAGTAAATTATAAGGATCCAAGTCTTGGTGTAACCAGACCATAAAGGCAATACAACAAATTTATGTATTCCAATACCAAAAAGCTTAGAGAATTCTTGCATCATATACGCAATCAGACATATCAGTCCTTATTAGGTCTACAGCATCCCCGATATCCAGGGGTTACGCTCACTTTCGCTCTCTACACCCCTGGAATATGACATAGCAAAATTGAAGGCTCAGTGTGCGCCACCTTGTTGATGAGACAAGAAGACTAGTTCGATCTTTTGATGTACATCAAAAGAATCTCGCTGTCAGGTAACGGTAAAAATTGACAGACTTTGAAGTTGGGCGTCTCTCCTTTGTAATCTTCAAAGGACAGGAATCAGCCTAGCGATTTGTCTTTTTTTTTTACCTGAGACCAATCAAACAGCTGTTTCGTGCCTTCAATTTTGCTTTGACATATTCCAGGGGTGTAGAGAGCGAAAGTTTGCGTAACCCCTGGATATCGAGGATGGGTCTACAGAGAATAGATACTGAAATAGGGAAGTGGAAGCTGAATTTTCTTTGTTCTGTTTTCGACCCGCCGTCATATACTATGTCTAAATATATTTTAGTCTGTAGACTGTACCAGTTTCGAGGGAACAACTCCACACGTCAGATAAATTTTATTCCGACGCGCGTCAGTTATTACAGAAATATTAATTTTACAATGCTTTAGATACTTACTGGACACTGCAACATTTCCATCGAAAACATTAAGGGAACAAAATGTTTAAAAAACAACATGTCTTTCTGAAAATTTGGCTACTTGCTTATCCGTCGGAGGCACGGTAGTCTAGTGGTAGGACGCCGGGCTCGTGACCGAAGGGTTGCGGGTTCAAGTCGCATCACGGTACTCTGTTGTATCTTCGAATAAGACACTTTACTCCGCTTGTTCCAGTCTACTCAGCTGTAAATGAGTGCGTGGTTGGGCACTGCTGGAATTGTTGAATGCTAGCTGTAAACACCTAAATGTAAGCACCGGCTGTATGCTCCCCTGGGAGTTGAGAAAGATATTGGCTGGTTACAAAGGCACATTATAGAAATTTAAACAATTTACCCCATGAAGAGATTTTCCGGCGCCTTCTAGGCAAAGATGTCAAGACATCTTTCATCCGTTATGGACTCTGAGGCCGTTTACCTTGATAGTGCTAAATATATATCAAAGGAAGCCAAATGTTGCTTTGATAAATGCAGGTAAAAGAAACAGAAAACATAGATATGCATACATTCGAAATAAATGTGTAAGCATGTCCCAATGTTATGCTAAAAATAAAGTCGAAGGTTTCATAAAAAGCTTTAGTCCATCGGAAATTTGAAACAGAGTTTTTGTTTTAATAAATTGCGAAACATTGACAATAATAATAATCTTTATATACAAAATAAAGTTAAGTAAAAATATAAAAAAGACTTTTATTTACCGTTACTAAATTTTTAACAAATGCAATGATTAACAAAATTGAGAATAAGTAACCATATTCTTAAGATTAAAACAGGTAGAGCTGAAAAAACAATTCTCGGCAACTTGTTCTATTAAAGAACTGTAACACACTAGAAGACGAAGTCCATTTTTTAGTGTACGTACAACTCTAGCATAAGGAAGATTGTTATTATCATGAGGAGGCTAGTGTGATGGAAAGGTATGTCTCGACTAGTCAGTTTGGTGTCGGAGATCGTATAAGCTCGAGACACGGACAGGACACGAGTTATAATTGTCTACCTTCTTAATTTGTTTTTTTATTTTAGAATGTACTTATACGGTGAGAACGTCATCCATGCTCAAGGGCATATATAGATTTCTTTTCAATCACTTCTGTATCAGTGCGATTGGCTTGTGTACAGCGTTACTATATATACATCCATGACACACCTGTATACTTGGGCGGGACAATTTTCGGAACTATTGGACCGTGACCGGGCCAGATTGACATAAACTAAAATAATAATATTGTTTATAATACAAATGCGCTGCACGATTTTCAGTGAAGGTTATTTGTGACTATATCGTATTACCAAAAGCACGAGACGATGATACCAGATAAGAGTTGCTCTTTGCAAACTGCCTAACGATTACTTGAATTGAACTTGTAGCTCCGGTCCCGTATCAGACCTGTTAGGGAGGCGTACCTATATATGATCACACGTAAAAGGATAAACTGTATGTGTGATTTGATCAATGTGGTGTGTACATGTGTTAAGCTGTATATGTATAGGGTATACAGACACCCAGTGACACTACCCAAAGGCAGGGTAGCGGTATTCTATTGGACACGGAGTAACATCGCAATTATCTAAGTAAGTATTTTTTTGAACCTCGACACATAGGTCTGAATGACATCGTGAAGTAATGTATTGTACTCTTAGCTTTGTAGTGTGTGGTATACTGTATTGGATATTGTTTTATGTTATACTGTGGCTGTATTGTATAGGTGCCCCTGGCCCTAAGAATCCCCCTACATTCACAGGGACCTGAGAATTAGTTTGAGCTATATTGGGACCTCAGAGTAATTTTATATGATTTAGAGGTTTAGATCGACTTTCGGTAAAAGAATCCCCCCCCCCTCCACAATGTTTATATATACTCGTATTTATACACTCGTTGTGGGTGGTATTTCTACAAATATAGCTGTTACAAATTCTCAGGTCCCTGTGCCTTGATCTAGTGTCGTAATCAGGTCCCCTATGATGAGTGATCCCTCAATGTCAGAACGAGTACTTTATATAAGACATCACAGGTATGCTGACAATACTTTGAAAAAAACTGTACCAAACTACAAGTTCAAGCATGAGTTCCTTAAACGCATACATCTTAAGAATAATAGGTAGAAACATCAAAGGGAGGGTAAGTATAGTTTGTATCATATACAGTGGCGGATACAGAGACATATATAGGGGAGTTTCCAAATTTCCAGGGGGGGGGNTGTATTTTAACAAAAAACCGCTGTATTTTAGCCGCATACTGTTCTACTTTATCACCAGGTCATAATATATGTACGTCAGATTATATTTGACAAGGCTGCGAACAGCATATACATCAACACGAAAGGGTATATCATTGTTAGAATTATTAAAGGCCTGAAGGTCGACTTCTGGAATACAATACCATTGACACCAGACTTCTATTGAAAGCACGGGGTGATATATAAGGCTCTTGTGTAGGTCTTCGTCGACAATCCGGTGAATTCACCAGAAACCAGTAATTTTATTGTGGGTTTTAAGCATTTCACACACGTCGAACGCACCTAGTCTGAAATTATTATATCATTATGTTCGTGTATTATGATGCTGGAATAAATTATCAAAGAGAAGATTATTGACCAAGACGGTAGCTGAAGTCAACATTATTGGCTTTTGTGAACATCACAGCATATTCACCAAGTAAAAAGTTCACAATTTGTTTTATTTTATAAACAGGAATTTAATTACTAAAGAGTTTTGGTATTTTCCAATTTTATGTTCAAAATTTGATAATCACTGGATTTTAACAAAATCCGGAGGTTGTACTCTGATACAAAAATTTCAGCCAATCAAAAGTATTTTAATTATAAATTTCTATAATAATTATATATGATATATATTCAGTACAGTCGTGAGAGTGTGGAAACAGTGCCTTCATCCCTTTTAATGTGTGGGTGTGACGGTGAAGGGTGTATGTGTAGTTCGCTTGTTATGGGTCCGTATTTGAAATGCCTCATCTTTGGTGCCGTACCTGATTAATTAAATTGACTGATCGATTGATTGATTGATTGATTGGTTGGTTGGTTTTACGTCCGTTTCCCTACCGAGTAGTTCGGTAACCCAGCAGACGGAAAAAGGATAGGAAAATGAGCAGAATGGATAAAGTATGTAGTGAAGGGATAGCAAAGGATGATAGAGGAGAGAAGGAGCCGTATATCTATAGTGCTGTACCGCGCACAAGTCACTTAAATACTTCAGCACCAGAATCATAATTCCCAAATACAGACTAACGTATACCCTACTCTCTGCAGATTGCGGGAAACAACAAGGTAAACATGTTTTTTCTCAAGGACGCAATTACTCATATCCGCAAGGATAGGCTGCGTCTACAAAGAGCTAGTAGTTTTTATGTAACAATGTAACATCCACACATGTTTGTATGGTGTTGCGTTACTCTTATTATGAGAAACTAAAAGAATGATGACGTGCTATGCGGCGCCACCCGATCACATGAGCACGATAACAAACCATAGAAAGTACGTTTGGATCTCGCTTTAGAAATACATCCTTAAAGCGGTTTTGTTTTAGCTTTTTACCAAAATTGATACGTCTTATCATATACAGCAGTATATGATTAAAACGGGATCATCTTGTTCTGATCAGTTATATAACATCGTTGATCATGATCAATGAGCAGATTAATTCATCCACCCCTGAAATTGCATAATGAACTATTCCAACCTTTGAGTGAGAAGGGGTTAAATGTGTCTTCTGGGGTGAATTAGTTAAGGACCGACAGTCATTCATTTCATCAACTAAGAAAAGCAGTCTACAAGTTGTACATCTTGCAATTATGATGGAGGATCATGAGACGTCGTGATATTACCGAGAAGACAGTCAACGTCATCAGAAATGTATGAAGAGCTGGCCAGAATACGCCCTTCATATAACGGAGATATCTGATCATAATAGGATCCGAAGTGAAAACACTTGTAAACACTTCGACATAACTGGGGTATAGTTAATATGTCGATGTATTCATAGTAAAGTTCAGCTGCAGAAATCGCAGCTAATTGTCCTATCAATTTATACTTTTAGTACTTTATACCATCGGTCATAGAGATACGGTGTCCAGTCCATTAAACACTTCATTCCAGGTTTATATTTTTGTTTAATAGGGTATGTCGTATGTAAGATGTAAGATATGGGTACTCTACCCGAGAGTGTAGAATAGGGATAAAAAAAGATATTTTACCGAGGCTTTAACACCAAATTCTTCCCCCGAGGGTAAAACATCCATATTCCAGATTCGGTAGACCTTGGGTATATCTCAAATTTGAAGTCCATGCAAGACCTTCAGAGCAAGCTTTCACAATACTTCTTGTGTTTTCGTGATTGTGTCACTTGCAATCGGTAAGGTTACCAGTCAAACGACGCTTTGAAGCGTTTTCAACGGAATACATGTACCTTTATACGCAGAGGTGAGAGAAAAGTGTATACAACAGGTCTATGTCGATATATTAAGAGCCCAATGATTGAAACAACCAGAGTATAGTATACTGTGTATCCACAATATATCGGTGTAACCGTAGTGCAATGTTTATACCGATGTTTTAATGTATAGTGCATGGGTTAAAACAATATTTATTGAGAGTTGAAGTGACAGCTGTTTGTTAAAATATTTTAACAGATTGCTGTTTTGGTCCTAATGAACATAATAACAAACAGCATTTGTACGAGACTTGCTGACATTCCGGAATGTCTTGTTCATGCAAACAATTATAACAACCCTTTGTATTAATAAAATATCTGAAACCATTTTTTTTTTTTTTGTATTTCAGAAAGAAATGTCTGACAACGGAGAAAATGGAGTCAAAACAAAGTCAATTAGGCGTGTTTTCTCTAGATTTTCTGAGAAGACGACCATGCACGCTGCACCCTATATTAACAGTGCCACGTACATTACCGCCAAAGTAATATGGGCGTTCTTATTGGTAGCTGGTATCGCTGCCATGACGCTCCATCTTTACTACCTCATCAATAATTTCTTATCGTGGCCAAAGAAAACGACGCTAACTCTAGGCTTCAGCAATCTGGAACTTCCTGCTGTGACTATTTGTAACGTAAACCCTATTCGGAACTCCCAGCTACACAATACCAACATAAGGCTACAACGTCTAGTGGAGAAAGTAGACCCCGATAATTTTTACGTAAGTTTGCTTTGAAGGTACATATTCATGAAAAAGAAAGAGCCGAACTAATCTGGGAGAGGCTTATATCGGGATACCGCTCATAATATCTACCCTTGAACTTTTTGTCCATGTCATATGATTAGAGCACAGAATCCAAGCTTTATCATGAGAAAATTTCATGAAAATGTGCCCTGATGTTTCTTTTTTATCGATGACACCCGCCATGTAAATCTATGCAAAATCCAATATCATGTCCTCAAAGTGAGTAACGGGGAAGTAACAACGAAACAACGAGCCATACTAATAAGCGCACTAAACATCGACATTCACATCACACAAGCAAACAGCATACTTCCAAATGAGACTAAAATGGAGAATTGCGATGGCTTTTGTTGTGCAGTCTCAAAAATCTTGAAATCTTCATTTAAATATATCAATTTTCATTTTCCTACGTGCACTCAAAATATCAGTGGGCTAGATGAAAACCACATGTATATATAGAAAACCTGGCAATGTCAATAGTCCTATATGCATAAACATTGAACTTTCTACGCTCGAGTTCACCTGAGGCTGCCATTGTGTAGAGTCTTTATGTATTGCTCACGATTCAGGCCACGGCCATTAGTTTTAACAGGTAAGTAGTAAATTTTACCCGAGTGTCGACCTACCTATTGCCCTTACACGAACCTCAAACATAGTTGTTCACTCAAACGTTTCAGATTTATACATGTCGACAGTATTGAGGAATAGCCATAGGTTGTTTGATAGGTGATACTACAATTAAACACTTTTAAACGCGACTCTGCCCCGCACACTTCTAAACGCGATGCTGCCCTACAATATTAAAGGTGATATATGTACTGTTCAAATCACTTTCAATGGTGATTCTGAAAATATAAATCCAATGCTCTGCTAAAAACATAATACTATGGAACTGTTCTTAATAGTTTTAAATCGGATGTGATACTATCCTTAATCATTTTAACTGTGATCTGTGATACAGGTTATCCAACCCGGGCAGTCCCCAATAAAATTTATATATACACATATCTCAAAGAAATAGCTCTGTATAAAATATGATAAATTATATCCAGGGATTGAAATATTATGTAATACAGACTTAAACCATTTTAACGTGGTGCTGCCCTCTAATATTTCTGATGATGTGCTGTTCTGAATAAGTTTACTGAACACGTTTAACTGCGGTACTGTCATAAATAACTTTAGCGTGATACTGTCCCGAACAACTTTAATGTCATATAGTCCCGAACATTTAAAAAAAAACACTGATTCGGTTTGTCCTGTACCGTGATCCCCCGATACTGTCCTTAACATTTCAAATCGTTATACTGTCCAAAATAATGTACCATTTGATACTGGCCTAGACCATTTTAAACTTGCTACTGTCTTAAAACTGCTTAGAGCAGCATCACGTGTAAAGCGTTTGATACTGTCCTTAATACCGTACGATTTAGTCTTCTCCTCAACATCGCAGATGAAATCAAAAGGTCTGATCTTCATCCTGAATGTTTGGGGGCCTTCAAGAAAAAAACTCCTCCCTAAACCTTCAAGCGTAAACCAAGAACACAGAAATGTATGATAGTGATTATATATATTTTCATATAAATGGTCGTACATCATTGTAAGTTAATTTACCTTACCCAAAAATCCATACATCATTGTACGTTTATTTACCTTACCAAATATACCATACATCATTGTACGTTTATATACCTTACCCAAAATACCATACATCATTGTAAGTTTATTTACCTTACCCAAAATACCATACATCATTGTACGTTTATATACCTTACCCAAAATACCATACATCATTGTAAGTTTATTTACCTTACCCATAATACCATACATCATTGTAAGTTAATTTACCTTACCCAAAATACCATACATCATTGTAAGTTTGTATACCTTACCTAAAATACCATACATCATCGTAAGTTTATTTACCTTACCCTAAATACCATACATCATTGTAAGTTAATTTAGCTTACCCAAAATACCATACCTCATTGTAAGTTTGTATACCTTACCTAAAATACCATACATCATCGTAAGTTTATTTACCTTACCCTAAATACCATACATCATTGTAAGTTAATATACCTTCCCCAAAATGCCATACTTCATTGTGCGTTTATTTACCTTACCAAAGATACCGTACATCGTTGTAAGTTTAAATACCTTACCCAAAACACCGTACATCATTGTCAGTTAATATACATCATTGTAAGTTTATTTACCTTACAAATAATACCATACATCATTGTAAGTTTGTATACCGTACCCAAAATACCATACATCATCGTAAGTTTATTTACCTTACCCTAAATACCATACATCATTGTAAGTTTATTTACCTTACCCAAAATACCATACCTCATTGTAAGTTTGTATACCTTACCCAAAATACCATACATCATCGTAAGTTCATTTACCTTACCCAAAATACCATACATCATTGTAAGTTAATATACCTTACCCAAAATACCATACTTCATTGTACGTTTATTTACCTTACCAAAGATACCGTACATCATTGTAAGTTTAAATACCTTACCCAAAATACCATACATCATTGTAAGTTTATTTACCTTACCAAAGATACCGTACATCGTTGTAAGTTTAAATACCTTACCCAAAATACCGTACATCATTGTCAGTTAATATACCTTACCCAAAATACCGTACATCATTGTCAGTTTATTTACCTTACCCAAAATACCATACATCACTGTAAGTTTAATTCCTTTTCCCAAAATACCATACATCATTGTAAGTTTATTTTCCTTACCCAAAATACCATACATCATTGTACGTTTATTTACCTTACCCAAAATACCATACATCATTGTAATTTAATTTACCTTACCCAAAATACCATACATCATTGCGGTTTATTTACCTTACCCAAAATACCATACATCATTGTAAGTTTATTTACCTTACCCAAAATTCCATGCATCATAGTCTGTTTATATCAGCACGTGCAATACCGTTTATCATTTAATTAAATATAAAAACGTGAAATATCTATATCATTATGATTATTGTATTTATTATCTAAACGTGAAATAGTACTCCATTGTCATTAAATGTAGATAAGAAATAAAATGTGACATAAACACTACGTGATCTATATAATATACACTATTACAGCTTCGCAGAAGGAAGCGTTTCCTGGACGCGTTTGACAATCAAAACCTGAGTTACTACGATGACGAGACAGACTATGACGAAATACAGGAAGAACTAGAACGACAAAACCTTGAGGATTACGACGAGTTTGAGGGTGTGAGAGACGCCATTGCCGAAATCAACCACAGATTTACTGAACTGTACATGGATGAAGACATGTAGGCAGAAGTATCTTGTTTTGCTAACTAACCCACTAACGAAACAACAGAAAGTATGTTTTCGGGAAATCTCACGTATACATAGAGCACCTTCCAAACAGCTTACTGTCGAACTTCATATAAAGTAGTTGGCAAAGCTATGCAATGCTCAACCTTATCCGCTACTCGGTGTGCACATGTAAAAATATAGTGCTTCTCTCCCCCATCTTTTTTCTCTTTCCTATTCTTTTTTTCTGTAATTTTAAAACAATGCCAGTGTCAACATGATAACACCATAATTACCAATATTAAAAGTCAAACCGATCATAGTGATGTCACTTTTATCTCGCAAGTTTTAACGTATGGATCAGTTCATCAGAACTGCTGTTAATTATTTGATAATCTAATTCTAGTATTTTTTACAAAGATGAGTTTGCTTGTGAATAGCACGTAAGATGATTTTTTTAAAAAAAATTTTTAGCCATCAAAGTCATTTTACCTAGCGTATTTTGTTTACGATCATATGAAATATGAATCTTTCAAAATTCTGTTTTGCATTTCATTGACATTTTCAGGCACATTTATTATTTTAACTTGTCTCACTAAATCGATATTATATTGAATGGCAGATTTTTTTTAAAAATTGCAATCAGCGGCTAATAGTCATAAACTGCAAGTAAACGGAAGTCATTCGGGAGTCTTTGTTATTTCGATTTAGCGTATAAAGGGAGCGGACATTATTTAATTTAAAGTCGCTATCAGTATAATACTTCAAGAGTCTTGTCTTTATACAGTGGGGTCCGGGAGGATATAGGGCACGACATCCACGCCATGTTAATTCGCTGTTCCTTCGGACAGTTCTCCTGCTTTCCCGAGTAAGTATCATACATATGTACAGAGACGGATTCCGTCTTTGCGTATTGCAGAGTTATCTTTTCTTGTGAGCAGGTATTGATTGCTACGTCATTGGTTTGTGAGAATAACGTCATCATTTTTTGAGAAAAACGACGTAATTTGCGCACACAAACCAATGACGTAACTTTAATCAATACCCGCTCACAAGAGAAACTCTGAAATACGCAAAGATGGCATATATTATTGTAATATATACGTCTCTGATCTGTAATACATGTTGTCTGACCTAATGCTATATGGTGTTATTAAAGTAATGTGTGCTTCATTTGAAATATCTTAGTTCATAATAATAATAATAATAATAAACTTTAATTATTGAGGATTAACAAAAAAAACTGATTTATCCAAAGGCTAATCTCCCTCAGGGTCCTCTATATTAGTAAAATGTGTTAGTTTTACATAGTATATCTTAAAACATTGTAATATAAATTACACATGAATGACATCTAAAATATAAGTTATGAGATTGCTGAAAATATTACATGCAATTCAATACATCAAATATCACAGAAAGCATAAATATCATGCCTTGAAGGTTTGATAATAGTTAAATGGCCGGAGCCTTACATACATATATGCTAATATAGCAAAGTATAAAAATTGCCAAGAAATTCGCTAATATAGCATAAATTAAAAACTGTTTTCTTTATCTAAAAGTATCTACATGAAGTTCAGAGTAGAAGGTGAATGTAGAACATGACGTATGTAAGGGGATATTGCAGAATTTACTTGTTTAAGAATATGGTGACGTTCTTCTCCGTGTTTCTTCGATGTAAATGAATTTTATTGGTTTATTTGATTTCAGAAACTTCACCTTGCACCGTTCCCAGCATTATGGTAACTGTTACACTTTAGATGCGAAGAAAATGATTGTTAAAGATTCGGGCCCAGCACTTGGTACGTACATGACCATCACTACTGCTATAGGTATGTCAATGTACAAAACAAGTTAGATATTCTCAATTATCTGATTTTGTAAAACAAAATCCTTGGTATCGTTACCTGTGTATTATTAATTTATCACAATCTCTCATAGATGTGGGTGTGTCCTGGAGTGGTGATAGGGTTACGATAGTCAATACCCGATGTTAGAGTTCCCATCAGTTTCCATTTTTATTTCTATTCCATCTCTTTCCAAATGTTTTGCTAATGCTCAGCACTGCAGTATTCAAACATTGTAATATATTATTAATGAACTGAACCACGTGCACATATTTGACGTGCATTGTCTCAAACTAAGCGACAACTGCTGCATACGAAAGAGAATAAAGCACATTGTGAGAGCATCTGGCGGTGTATCACATAGGTGTATTTCTATGACGTCATACTTGTAAAATCAATGAACACATCCCGATAGAAGTCAATGTTATAAGATGGAAAGTATATTTTTTAATTGTCTTATTTACGAATTGAAAATAAACACCAAATATTGATTTTGTACACAAAACCAGAGAGTTCTTAACCACAAATCACCGAGGTACCATACAGGCATATAATCATGTATACAAAAGGCTGTCCTGTGCAGACATTGTGTACAGATACAATTTACCAATGTCCCATATAGCTTTCATCATGAGTTTTCAAATAGGACAGGCTATCTGTTATTATCAGAGTGGAAGAAAAAGATTGTTTCTTTTATTTCAGTTATTTTTTAAAAAAAAGAGGGAATATTGTATAATCAACGCCAAACAAAAATATGGCGTATTTATATACATACAATGACATTAACTTTCACTTAATGTATTAACAGACAATTAAACAGAGTATGAAGAATTTTCTCTGGAATTAAATAATGAGGTTACAACGGCGCATGGGTCATAAAGTAAAAAAAATAATCCTTTACGGTCGTTCTAACGACGGGACATCATCTTCCCAAAATGTCTGTAGGTAATTATCAATCCTATTTTCTGACGTCCACCACTGTGAGTGTATATTACCAATATCATTTACTGACGTTCATTACTCATAGTGCTAAAACCAGTCCAATTATATCGTCTACTGCAAGCAGGGGTTCATTCTTGCCTTTTGTTACTTAGTACCACTTAGAAGTACAATGACAAACTTTTGGTTTCTTAATTTTTCATTTTTAGCAATAATTTAACTGATATGAACACCGTAATAAAGCTGGAAAGGTGCAGTTTTAGCCAAGTAGGTGTGAATCAAGTGACCAGATACCGACACTCGTTGCTGATTACAATCAGATGAAAGTGAAACTTATCGCTATAAACTTTGTTCCATCATTGCAGGTCTGACGCTTATGCTGTATATGGAGAACCACGAATACCTAGCGGGGATCACAGATGGTTACGGAGCAAGAGTGCACATACACGCCAAAGATACCGTCCCCTTCCCATACCAGTCTGGCTTCTTCGTGCAGACAGGACAGGAAACCACCATCGCTCTAAAACAGGTAGAAACACACACGAAAGCCTCCCCATAACCCTTCCAGAGTTGCGTCTTTGTTCGAAAAGGACTATAAATCACATCGCATTAAAATGTGTTCACTCACTCACCAGTACCCCTGTGCATTCCCTTACCAATGTTTTATATTTTATTTTTGGTTGTGTCTGGGAGAATAATGTGACCTAGTTTTGTGTTGCGTTACCGTGCCCAGGACAGTTGATGACATTTTAATAAGGTGGTACTTTACGTTGGCTCTTGAGTAGACCCATCATCTGTCGTTAACGTCTTCTTTAGTTGGTTTGGTTTGATTCAGTATTGTTTAACGTCCTATCAACAGCTATGGTCATTTAAGGACAGCCTCCCTCCCTTGCGTGCAAGATACATGCGTGTAGTGTATGTGTGTGTGTTTTGGGAGACTGCGATATGTTCGTGTTTGTCTCTTTGTACTAGCGCGGAACTGATGCTGACTTTATAGTGCTACCTCACTGAAACATACTGCCATACTCTGGTATGTCTCGGTCAGGGGACAGAACCCAAAGCCGTTCTCACAGGAGCGAACGCTCAACTAAAGGCCAAAAGCGAGGCATTGTCAAGGGAAACACTAGGAAGAAGAAAATTGTTTGGAAAGATAAGAACCAAAATTTAGTCGCCTCGTATGATCATGCAATGGGGGTAACAGGTACAATTCTTACGCCCTACCTGCAGGGACGGTCTTCTTTAGACCCAAGCTGTTGCTAGGACGTAAAACTCTGAACTAACAAACACTCTTTACATAATGCCTCTGAACGCTAGGACGTAAACATACTGCCTCCACACGCGAGGACGTAAACATAATGCCACCACACGCTAGGACGTAAACATACTGCCTCCACACCCTAGGACGTAAACATACTGCCTCTGAACGCTAGGACGTAAACATCATGCCTCCACACGCTAGGACGTAAACATAATGCCTCTGAACGTTAGGACGTAAACATAATGCCTCTGAACGCTAGGACGTAAACATACTGCCTCCACACGCTAGGACTTAAACATACTGCCTCCACACGCTAGGACGTAAACATACTGCCTTTGCACGCTAGGATGTAAACATACTGCCTCCACACGCTAGGACGTAAACATACTGCCTCCACACGCTAGGACGTAAACATACTGCCTCCACACGCTAGGACGTAAACATACTGCCTCCACACGCTAGGACGTAAACATACTGCCTCCACACGCTAGGACGTAAACATACTGCCTCCACACGCTAGGACGTAAACATACTGCCTCCACACGCTAGGACGTAAACATACTGCCTCCACACGCTAGGACGTAAACATACTGCCTCCACACGCTAGGACGTAAACATACTGCCTCCACACGCTAGGACGTAAACATACTGCCTCCACACGCTAGGACGTAAACATACTGCCTCCACACGCTAGGACGTAAACATACTGCCTCCACACGCTAGGACGTAAACATACTGCCTCCACACGCTAGGACGTAAACATACTGCCTCCACACGCTAGGACGTAAACATACTGCCTCCACACGCTAGGACGTAAACATACTGCCTCCACACGCTAGGACGTAAACATACTGCCTCCACACGCTAGGACGTAAACATACTGCCTCCACACGCTAGGACGTAAACATACTGCCTCCACACGCTAGGACGTAAACATACTGCCTCCACACGCTAGGACGTAAACATACTGCCTCCACACGCTAGGACGTAAACATACTGCCTCCACACGCTAGGACGTAAACATACTGCCTCCACACGCTAGGACGTAAACATACTGCCTCCACACGCTAGGACGTAAACATACTGCCTCCACACGCTAGGACGTAAACATACTGCCTCCACACGCTAGGACGTAAACATACTGCCTCCACACGCTAGGACGTAAACATACTGCCTCCACACGCTAGGACGTAAACATACTGCCTCCACACGCTAGGACGTAAACATACTGCCTCCACACGCTAGGACGTAAACATACTGCCTCCACACGCTAGGACGTAAACATACTGCCTCCACACGCTAGGACGTAAACATACTGCCTCCACACGCTAGGACGTAAACATACTGCCTCCACACGCTAGGACGTAAACATACTGCCTCCACACGCTAGGACGTAAACATACTGCCTCCACACGCTAGGACGTAAACATACTGCCTCCACACGCTAGGACGTAAACATACTGCCTCCACACGCTAGGACGTAAACATACTGCCTCCACACGCTAGGACGTAAACATACTGCCTCCACACGCTAGGACGTAAACATACTGCCTCCACACGCTAGGACGTAAACATACTGCCTCCACACGCTAGGACGTAAACATACTGCCTCCACACGCTAGGACGTAAACATACTGCCTCCACACGCTAGGACGTAAACATACTGCCTCCACACGCTAGGACGTAAACATACTGCCTCCACACGCTAGGACGTAAACATACTGCCTCCACACGCTAGGACGTAAACATACTGCCTCCACACGCTAGGACGTAAACATACTGCCTCCACACGCTAGGACGTAAACATACTGCCTCCACACGCTAGGACGTAAACATACTGCCTCCACACGCTAGGACGTAAACATACTGCCTCCAAACGCTAGGACGTAAACATACTGCCTCCACACGCTAGGACGTAAACATACTGCCTCCACACGCTAGGACGTAAACATACTGCCTCCACACGCTAGGACGTAAACATACTGCCTCCACACGCTAGGACGTAAACATACTGCCTCCACACGCTAGGACGTAAACATACTGCCTCCACACGCTAGGACGTAAACATACTGCCTCCACACGCTAGGACGTAAACATACTGCCTCCACACGCTAGGACGTAAACATACTGCCTCCACACGCTAGGACGTAAACATACTGCCTCCACACGCTAGGACGTAAACATACTGCCTCCACACGCTAGGACGTAAACATACTGCCTCCACACGCTAGGACGTAAACATACTGCCTCCACACGCTAGGACGTAAACATACTGCCTCCACACGCTAGGACGTAAACATACTGCCTCCACACGCTAGGACGTAAACATACTGCCTCCACACGCTAGGACGTAAACATACTGCCTCCACACGCTAGGACGTAAACATACTGCCTCCACACGCTAGGACGTAAACATACTGCCTCCACACGCTAGGACGTAAACATACTGCCTCCACACGCTAGGACGTAAACATACTGCCTCCACACGCTAGGACGTAAACATACTGCCTCCACACGCTAGGACGTAAACATACTGCCTCCACACGCTAGGACGTAAACATACTGCCTCCATACGCTAGGACGTAAACATACTGCCTCCACACGCTAGGACGTAAACATACTGCCTCCACACGCTAGAACGTAAAACTCTGATCTAACAAACAATCTTCACATACTGCCGAAACACGAAACCAAACTTTAACCACTCAACTTTTACCTGCCAGTTCACCTTCATGAAGTATTGCTCACCACCAGCATTTCCCGACCAGTTCATCTTCTGTACGCCACAATCACTATATTCCTACGATAAATAGCCATAGCCGGGCAGTTACGAAGTAATATTTTTTAGAAACACACGTCTTTATTTGTAAATCGTAAACATCTTAAACAGTGGGTTTTCCTGTTGCTGTAACCCGCCAATTTTTTGTGTTTATTTATTTTCGCACTTGCTCCTCCAATAGCATCATTATGAAGTTTGAATTCACGAAATATATAACCTCTTATAGTTAAATTTTTATCTTAATGAATATTCGATACGTATTGATGTCGTGCTTTGATTTGTTTGTTGGTTAACACGGGAAATGAATATCTCTTGAAAATCAGTTACCTTAGTGAATTCGAAAATAAATCATTTGACCGCTTTTTCTCCTTTAGAAATTTAGAGAGGCGCTTCAAGTTAAATCTCCAACAGAATTATTCGGAAAACAAGTAATTCCAAAAATGCCCTTAGTGTCAGTTAGGGCTGATATTACGCCATTGGTTGACTACCAGATAATGTTTCAAATATTTTTTTCATAGGAATTCTATCTATTAGTAAAGTAAACGATGACTAAGAAGTAAGCACGTTAGAAAGTCAGAAAAAAACGACACGTTTCGACAACATCTATAGGCATGTTGAAAGTTTATATCTTGTGGTATGCTAACCACTAAAAACACGAAGTAGGATAATTAATGCCTATTGATAAAAAAAATCCAATTTTGTTAATGCATAAAGCCGAACAAAATAGAAATTACTGCTGGATATGGTCATTTCAGACTTATCAGTGGTACTTAGGTAAACAAACCAGAGGTGTTCCGAAATACCTTTATAAATAAATACTTCGCGGAAAAATACCTTTCGGCTAATATTTCTCCTTTAAAGAAACAGTAATTCATGTAACCCAAGCCGGGATCACTTCCAGCTAGAATGTTACAATATTCGTTGATGATGTTTTATTGATGGATTCTATATTAGAAAATGAGATGTTTTAACATATCCAATACTTTTGATAAACAGACGAAGATAGAACGTATAACAAAACCACATGGCAACTGTGCAACGAGCCAGGAATTCAAAGATTTGTACAAGAAAGTTTATACAAGACAGGTAAGTAGTATGTCGGGATTAATACTAGACAGTAAGGTAATATGTCGGGGGTTTATACCAGACAGGTAAGTAGTATGTCGGGATTAATACTAGACAGTAAGGTAGTATGTCAGGGGTTTATACCAGACAGGTAAGTAGTATGTCGGAGGTTATACCAGACAGTAAGGTAATATGTCGGGGGTTTATACCAGACAGGTAAGTAGTATGTCGGGATTAATACTAGACAGTAAGGTAGTATGTCGGGGGTTATACCAGACAGGTAAGTAGTATGTCGGAGGTTATACTAGACAGTAAGGTAATATGTCGGGGTTTATACTAGACAGGTAGGTAGTATGTCGGGGGTTATACCAGACAGGTAAGTAGTATGTCGGGGTTTATACCAGACAGGTAGGCAGTATGTCGGGGGTTATACCAGACAGGTAAGTAGTATGTCGGGGTTTATACCAGACAGTTAGGTAGTATGTCGGGGTTTATAACATACAGGTAAGTAGTATGTCGGGGGTTATACCAGACAGGTAAGTAGTATGTCGGGGTTATACCAGACAGGTAGGTAGTATGACGGTGTTTATACCAGGCAGGTAGGTAGTATGTCGGGGTTGATACCAAACAGGTTGATAGTGGATGTGTCAAATTACATTTACTTTTGTTTTTTATCCTGTTTCGTCAGATCAACAACTTTCCTTCCTTTACGAGCGGAAAAAAGGGTTTAATTGAGGTCTTTATTCTGGTTATTGTAACTGGTCGATGTTTTGGTCTGTTTAGGTTTTGTGGTACCAGCTGGACGTGTTAACCCTATCCTTATCACGTCTGCCAATAACATTTTGCTCTGGCCATAGTGCTGTGAAACCTTTAACAATACTCCCATCTATTATTTACCGACAATATGTTCAAACAAACAAATTTCGTCGAGCCCGTGATATATCTCAGTATGTGAGATCCGGTTTTGGTCTATATTCCTGTTTTTTAACTACATGGGTTTCGTCGACCCGTACACTTGAGAATAATCGGCCACATTCGTTTCTTTAACTTTGTGACAATCGGGATAAGAGGTGTGTACACCATACCCACAATAGACGAATGTTCACGTGATATTAGAGCTTAATCATGCCGTCGGTGTTGCTTTACACAGACATATAATGCTTAACCTATACAAAAGTACTTAGAGGTCCTTCTGAACCGGTTTGGGTTTATATTGGGTATATCTCCGAAAATAAGGATAAAGTGTTCACCATGAATGCACTAGTTATGGGGGACACTGAAACATACCGTATTGATACATTACTTCTCACTATCAGTATATCTACTACTCAGATTACCACTAAAAACAACGCCGATGACTGTTCTTACTGTACAAAATGATTTAAATGTTCAAACCTGGGATAGGTTACCTTCCGTAGACAATGGCAGATGAGAAATCGTGCCGTAACACAACCTCAATCTTTATCTCGTATAAGACAATCACACCCCTGTACCCCGAATAAGACAACCCGACCCCTGTCTCCCGATTAATACAACCCCACCCCCTTACGCGATATAAAACAATCCCACCCCTGTACCCCGATTATTACAACCCCATCCCCTTACCCCGAATAATACAACCCCATCCCTGTACTCCGAATAAGACAACCCCACCCTTGTACCCCGAATAAAACAACCCCATCCCGGCCTGCCCCTTACCCCGATAATGACAAACCCACCGCTGTACCCCGAATAAGTCAATCCCAACCCTGTACCCTGAATAAGAAAATCCCCCCTTTACCCGAATAAGACAATCACACCTCTGTACCCCGAATAAGAAAACTCCCACCCCTGTACCCCGAATAAGACAACCACACCCCTGTACCTCGAATAAGACAACAACACCGTTTTAGCCCGAATAAGACAACTCCACCCTGTACCCCGAATAAGACAACCCCCACCCCTTACCCCGAATAAGACAACCCCACCCCTGTACCCCAAATAAGACAACCCCACCCCTTACCCCGAATAAGACAACCCCGACCCTGTACCCCGAATAAGACAACCACACCCCTTACCCCGAATAAGACAACCCCATCCCTGTACCCCAAATAAGACAACCCCACCCCTTACCCCGAATAAGACAACCACACCCCTGTACCCCGAATAAGACAACCACACCCCTGTACCTCGAATAAGACAACAACACCGTTGTAGCCCGAATAAGACAACTCCACCCCTGTACCCCGAATAAGACAACCCCACCCCTAACCCCGAATAAGACAACCCCACCCCTGTACCCGAATAAGACAACAACACCCCTGTACCCCGAATAAGACAACCCCCTCCCCTGTACCCCGGATAAGACAACCCAATCTCTGTACCCCGAATGAGACAACCCCAACCCTATGACCCGAATAAGACAACCCCCAGCCCTGTACTCCAAATAAGACAACCCCAACCCTATTACCCGAATAAGACAACCCCAATGTAATCCGAATAAGACAACCCCCAGCCCTGTACTCCGAATAAGACAACCCCAACCCTATACCCCGAATAAGACAACCACAATGTAATCCGAATAAGATAACCCCATGCTTGTAACCCGTATAAGACAACCCCACCCCTGTACTCCGAATAGGGCAATCCCCCTGTACCCCGAAAAAGACAACCCCACCCCAGTCCCCCGAATAAGACAATCCCATATACCCCTAATAAGATAACCCCACCCCTGTACCCCGAATACGCCAACAACCATCCTGTACCCCGAATAAGACAATCCCACTGTACCCCGAATAAGACAATCCCCCTGTACCCCAAATAAGACAACCTCCACCCTGTACCCCGAATGAGACAACCCTACCCCTATAACCCGAATAAGACAACCCCCAGCCCTGATACCGAATAAGACAATCCCCCTGTACCCCGAATAAGACAACTCCACCCATGTACCTCGAATAAGACAACCCACACCCCTGTACTCCGAATAGGACAATCCCCCTGTACCCCGAATAAGATAACCCCACCCCTGTACCCCGAATAAGACAACCCCCACCCCTTACCCCGAATAAGACTACCCTACCCCTGTACCCGAATGAGACAACAACACCCCTGTACCCCGAATAAGACATGCCCCTCCCCTGTACCCCGAATAAGACATGCCCCTCCCCTGTACCCCGAATAAGACAACTCCCTCCCCTGTACCCCAAATAAGACAACCCCCACCCTGTACCCCGAATGAGACAACCCCACCCCTATAACCCGAATAAGACAACCCCCAGCCCTGTACCCCGAATAAGACAACCCCCTCCCCTGTACCCCGGATAAGACAACCCAACCTCTGTACCCCGAATAAGACAACCCCCTCCCCTGTACCCCAAATAAGACAACCCCCACCCTGTACCCCGAATGAGACAACCCCAACCCTATGACCCGAATAAGACAACCCCCAGCCCTGTACTCCAAATAAGACAACCCCAACCCTATACCCCGAATAAGACAACCCCAATGTAATCCGAATAAGACAACCTCCAGCCCTGTACTCCGAATAAGACAACCCCAACCCTATCCCCCGAATAAGACAATCCCAATGTAATCCGAATAAGACAACCCCCAGCCCTGTACTCCGAATAAGACAACCCCAACCCTATCCCCCGAATAAGACAACCCCAATGTAATCCGAATAAGACAACCTCCAGCCCTGTACTCCGAATGAGACAACCCCTCCCCTGTACCCTGCATAAGACAACCCCCCCCCCTGTACCCCGAATACGCCAACAACCATCCTGTACCCCGAATAAGACAATCCCCCTGTACCCCGAATATGACAATCACCTGTACCCCAAATAAGACAACCCCCACCCTGTACCCCGAATGAGACCACTCCACCCCTATAACCCGAATAAGACAACCCCCAGCCCTGTCCCCCGAATAAGACAATCCCCATTTTAACCGAATAAGACAACCCCACCCATGTACCCCGAATAAGACAACCCACACCCCTGTACTCCGAATAGGATAATCCCCCTGTACCCCGAATAAGATAACCCCACCCCTGTACCCCGAATACGCCAACAACCATACTGTACCCCGAATAAGACAATCCCCCTGTACCCCGAATATGACAATCACCTGTACCCCAAATAAGACAACCCCCACCCTGTAACCCGGATGAGACAACTCCACCCCTATAACCCGAATAAGACAACCCCCAGCCCTGATACCGAATAAGACAATCCCCCTGTACCCCGAATAAGACAACCCCACCCCAGTACCCCGAATAAGACAATTCCATGTACCCCTAATAATATAACCCCACCCCTGTACCCCGAATACGCCAACAACCATCCTGTACCCCGAATATGACAATCCCACTGTACCTCGAATAAGACAATCCCCCTGTACCCCAAATAAGACACCCTCCCCCCTGTACCCCGAATGAGACAACCCCACCCCTATGACCCGAATAAGACAACCCCCAGCCCTGTACCCCAAATAAGACAACCCCCAGCCCTGTACCCCGAATAAGACAATCCCCCTTTTACCCGAATAAGACAATTCCATGTACCCCTAATAATATAACCCCACCCCTGTACCCCGAATACGCCAACAACCATACTGTACCCCGAATAAGACAATCCCCCTGTACCACAAATAAGACAACCTCCACCCTGTACCTCGAATGAGACAACCCCACCCCTATAACCCGAATAAGACAACCCCCAGCCCTGTACCCCGAATAAGACAACCCCCTCCCCTGTACCCCAAATAAGACAACCCCCACCCTGTACCCCGAATGAGACAACTCCACCCCTATGACCCGAATAAGACAACCCCCAGCCCTGTACACCAAATAAGACAACCCCCCACCCTGTACCCCGAATGAGACAACTCCACCCCTATAACCCGAATAAGACAACCCCCAGCCCTGTACCCCGAATATGACAACCCCCACCCCTGTACTCCGAATAGGACAACCCCCCTGTACCCCGAATAAGACAACCCCATCCCTTACCCCGAATAAGACAACCCCAAACCTGTACCCGAATGAGACAATAACACCCCTGTACCCCGAATAAGACAACCCCCAGCCCTGTACTCCGAATGAGACAACCCCTCCCCTGTACCCTGCATAAGACAACCCCCTCCCCTGTACCCCGAATACGCCAACAACCATCCTGTACCCCGAATATGACAATCCCACTGTACCTCGAATAAGACAATCCCCCTGTACCCCAAATAAGACAACCTCCACCCTGTACCCCGAATGAGACAACCCCACCCCTATAACCCGAATAAGACAATCCCTAGCCCTGAACCCCGAATAAGACAATCCCCCTTTTACCCCGAATAAGACAACTCCAACCCTGTACCCCGAATAAGACAACCCCCGCCCCTTACCCCGAATAAGACAACCTCAAACCTGTACCCGAATGAGACAACAACACCCCTGTACCCCGAATAAGACATGCCTCCCCCTGTACCCCGAATAAGACAACCCCCTCCCCTGTACCCCAAATAAGACAACCCCCACCCTGTACCCCGAATGAGACAACCCCACCCCTATAACCCGAATAAGACAACCCCCAGCCCTGTACCCCGAATAAGACAATCCCCATTTTAACCGAATAAGACAACTCCACCCATGTACCCCGAATAAGACAACCCACACCCCTGTACTCCGAATAGGACAATCCCCCTGTACCCCGAATAAGATAACCCCACCTCTGTACCCCGAATAAGACAACCCCCTCCCCTGTACCCCGGATAAGACAACCCAACCTCTGTACCCCGAATAAGACAACCCCCTCCCCTGTACCCCAAATAAAACAACCCCCACCCTGTACCCCGAATGAGACAACCCCAACCCTATGACCCGAATAAGACAACCCCCAGCCCTGTACTCCGAATAAGACAACCCCAACCCTATACCCCGAATAAGGCAACTCCAATGTAATCCGAATAAGATAACCCCACCCCTGTACGCCGAATAGGACAATCCCCCTGTACCCCGAATAAGACAACCCCCACCCCTGTACTCCGAATAGGACAATCCCCCTGTATCCCGAATAAGACACCCCACCCAACCCCGAATAAGACAACCCCACCCCTGTACCCGAATAAGACAACAACACCCCTGTACCCCGAATAAGACATGCCCCTCCCCTGTACCCCGAATAAGACAACCCCAACCCTATACCCCGAATAAGACAACTCCAATGTAATCCGAATAAGATAACCCCACCCCTGTACGCCGAATAGGACAATCCCCCTGTACCCCGAATAAGATAACCCCACCTCTGTACCCCGAATAAGACAACCCCCTCCCCTGTACCCCAAATAAAACAACCCCCACCCTGTACCCCGAATGAGACAACTCCACCCCTATAACCCGAATAAGACAACCCCCAGCCCTGTCCTCCGAATAAGACAACCCCAACCCTATACCCCGAATAAGACAATCACAATGTAATCCGAATAAGATAACCCCACCCCTGTACTCCGAATAGGACAATCCCCCTGTACCCCGAATAAGATAACCCCACCCCTGTATCCCGAATAAGACAACCCCCACCCCTTACCCCGAATAAGACAACCTCAAACCTGTCCCCGAATGAGACAACAACACCCCTGTACCCCGAATAAGACATGCCCCTCCCCTGTACCCCGAATAAGACAACCCCAACCCTATACCCCGAATAAGGCAACTCCAATGTAATCCGAATAAGATAACCCCCCCCCTGTACTCCGAATAGGACAATCCCCCTGTACCCCGAATAAGATAACCCCACCTCTGTACCCCGAATAAGACAACCCCCTCCCCTGTACCCCAAATAAGACAATCCCCTGTACCCCAAATAAGACAACCCCCACCCTGTCCCCCGAATAAGACAATCCCCCTTTTACCCGAATAAGACAATTCCATGTACCCCTAATAATATAACCCCACCCCTGTACCCCGAATACGCCAACAACCATACTGTACCCCGAATAAGACAATCCCCCTGTACCACAAATAAGACAACCTCCACCCTGTACCCCGAATGAGACAACCCCAACCCTATGACCCGAATAAGACAACCCCCAGCCCTGTACTCCGAATAAGACAATCCCCATTTTAACCGAATAAGACAACTCAACCCATGTACCCCGAATAAGACAACCCACACCCCTGTACTCCGAATAGGACAATCCCCCTGTATCCCGAATAAGACACCCCACCCAACCCCGAATAAGACAACCCCACCCCTGTACCCGAATAAGACAACAACACCCCTGTACCCCGAATAAGACAACCCCCTCCCCTGTACCCCGGATAAGACAACCCAACCCCTGTACCCCGAATAAGACAACCCCCTCCCCTGTACCCCGGATAAGACAACCCAACCCCTGTACCCCGAATAAGACAACCCCCTCCCCTGTACCCCGGATAAGACAACCCAACCCCTGTACCCCGAATAAGACAACCCCCACCCCTGTACTCCGAATAGGACAATCCCCCTGTACCCCGAATAAGATAACCCCACCTCTGTACCCCGAATAAGACAACCCCCTCCCCTGTACCCCAAATAAGACAATCCCCTGTACCCCAAATAAGACAACCCCACCCTGTACCCCGAATGAGACAACCCCACCCCTATAACCCGAATAAGACACCCCACCCCTGTATCCCCAATAAGACAACCCCAACCCCTGTCTCCCGAATAAGACAACCCCAACACTATACCCCGAATAAGACAATCCCCCTGTACCCAGAATAAGACACCCCCCTGTACTCCGAATACGCCAACAACCATACTGTACCCCGAATAAGAAGACCCCCACCCCTGTACCCCGAAAAAGACCATCTCCCTGTACCCCCAATAAGACACCCCACCCCTGTACCCCCAATAAGACACCCCACCCCTGTACCCCGAAAAAGACCATCTCCCTGTACCCCCAATAAGACACCCCACCCCCGTACCCCGAATAAGACAATCCCCCTGTACCCCGAATAAGACCACCCCCTCCCCTGTACCCCAAATAAGACACCCCACCCCTGTATCCCGAATAAGACACCCCACCCCTGTACCCCGAATAAGACAATCTCCCTGTACCCCGAATAAGACGACCCCCACCCCTGTACCCCGAATAAAACAACCTCACCTCTGTACCCCGAATGTGACAACCCCATCTCTGTACCCCAAATAAGACAATTTTCCTGTACCCCGAATAAGACGACCCCCACCCCTGTACCCCGAATAAAACAACCTCACCTCTGTACCCCGAATGTGACAACCCCATCTCTGTACCCCAAATAAGACAATCCCCCTGTAGCCCGAATAAGACAACCTCACCCCTTTTCCCAGAATATGACAACCCCACTCCTGTACTCCGAATAAGACAACCCCACCTCTGTAACCCGAATAAGACAGCCCCCACCCCGAATAAGACAACCCCACTACTGTATCCCGAATAAGACAACCCAAACAATGTTCCCGAATAAGACAACCCCAACACCTGTACCCCGAACAAGACAACGCCCCCCCCCCCCCCCCCCCNNNCCGTACCCGAATAAGACAACCCCCACCCCTGTGCCCCGAATAGGACAACAACCACCCTGAACCCCGAATAAGACAATCCCCCTGTACCCCGAACAAGACAATCCCCCTGTACCCCGAATAAGACAACCCAACTCCTGTACCCCTAATAAGACAACCCAACTCCTGTACCCCTAATAAGACAATCCCAGCCACTGTACACCGAATAAGATAACACCCATCCCTGTACCCCGAATAAGCCAACCCCACCCAAGTACCCCGAATAAGCCAACCCCACCCAAGTACCCCGAATAAGACAACCCCTGTACTCCGAATAAGACAACTCGACCCCAGAACCCCGAAAAAGACAATCCCCTTGTACCCCGAATAAGACAACCCCTACCAAGTACCCTGAATAGGACAAGCCCATGTATCCCGAATAAGACGACCCCGCCCCTGTACCCCAAATAAGACAATCCCACTGTACTCCGATTAAGACAACCCAACCCCAGTACCCTGAATAAGACAATTCCCTGTACCCCGAAAAGGATAACCGCACCCCTGTACCCCGAATAAGACAACAACCACCCTGTACCCCGAATAAGAAAATCCCACTGTACCCCGAATAAGACAATCCCCCTGTACCCCGAATAAGACAACCCCACCCCAGTACCTCGATCAAGACAATCCCCCTGTACCTCGAATAAGACAATCCCCCTGTACCCAGAATAAGACAATCCCCCTGTACCCAGAATAAGACAACCCCAACCCTGTACCCCGATTAGATAATCCCCACCCCTGTACCCCGAATAAGACAACCCCAACCATGTACCCCGAATAAGATAATCCCCAACCCTGTACCCCGAACAAGACAACCGCACCCCAGTACCCCAAATAAGACAATCCCCCTGTACCCCGAATAAGAAAACCCCACCCCTGTACCCCGAATAAGATAATCCCCACCCCTGTACTCCGAATAAAACAACCCCACCCCAGTACCCCGAATAAGACAATCCCCCTGTACCCCGAATAAAACAACCCCACCCCTGTATCCCGAATAAGACACCCCACCCCTGTACATCGAATAAGACAACTCCCTGTACCCCGAATAATTCAACCCCACCCCCTTACCCCGAATAAGACAACAACACCCGTGTAACCCGAATAAAATCAACGTTAAGTTTACTTTCACTATATCTTCACTCCTTTTATTTAGTGTTGGCAGACTAGAACATGCAGATCTCTAAGTCTGGCTCCCAACTGGGATTGTTCTCGGCAGTATTGCTAGAGACCGTCTAACAGATGATGATCCCCATAAGAAAGCAAGTATATGCCAGACTAAATAGATACCATAGAAGTGATGTGCTACTGACAGGGTTTTTGTTTTGCCAGTCCTGTGTGTACCTGTGTAGACCGACCCAGATCGTAAAGCAATGTGGTTGCTATGACGACTACGACGCCGACCTGTTCCAGGGAAGCTCCAAGAGGATCTGTACCAGTAGGCAAGGTAAGAGTCAAAAGTGAAAAGTGGGGAAAAATAAATAGTGTCAACAGAACCAGAAGTCGAACACAACATCGAAAAAAAAAGTGCAAAATGTAAACAAATGAAAGATTTACACGGAGGGTCTTGAAAAGTCCTAATGTAAAACTTAAATGCTACAATTAGTGACTCTTTACCTATACCTTCCTCCTTTTGTATCCCTTTCATTTACCGTTAAAATAGATACCCTGATTCATTTTGTTCCGTTATTCTTGTATTCTATGTGTGTTTTAAATTGTGTTTACAATGTTTTTTGAAAATTGTATGGTGGTAAAAAATTGTTTTACTTTTTCAGATTATGAATGTGTTTACAGAGTCACATATGACATTATCAACAAAAAGATCACGTGTACCTGTACTGATCCATGTGTGTACGTATGAACGGTGACCATTGTGGTCACTACTGTTCTAGTGGTCCCTCTTTGTGGTTACATGCTGTATATCACTGACCGATCCATGTCTGTACGTATGAACGATGACCATTGTGGTCACTACTAGTTCTAGTGGTCACTTGGTGTGGTCACATGCTGTATATCACTGACCGATCCATGTCTGTACGTATGGACGGTGACCATTATGGTCACCTCTAGTACTAGTGGTCACTTGGTGTGGTTACTTCTGTATACCACTTACCTATCCAGTCCCTACTTTTGGTCATTACTTAAATTGTGTCATTACTTGCGGTCACGATATAATATTCGTAAACGCTATTATAATCACTTACATCAGTGAAACAGATATTGTTGCAATAATTTGATAGGTAAATAGAAGGAAAATGCCATCCATATATTTTGAGGTCACATGCCATAGCCGGTATTTAAATAAGGGATCAAATATGATGTTGTTGAATTCGTGACGTAAAATCCTCTTGTCTTTTAATGCAAAAATCGTTATATACATTCTACATATTCATATATACATGTATATGTTATAATGGCCTGTATCCAAGGAAACTATATTAATATAGAGTCGTCTGGTAGTAAATTGAGCTTAAATCTTCCCAAAACTATAAGGGAGTTATACCCGAGCCCTCCTTAATTTAGTACATGTTATGTTATTTTGGACGTCACACAAGGTATTCCGTCTTTTCGTATTGCAGAGTTATCTACTCTTGTGAGCAGGTATTGACTGTTACGGCATTATTGTTTGAGAAAACGACGTCATTTTCTCACACAAACTAATGAGGTAAGAATCAATACCTGCTCACAAGAGCAGATCTCCATTTTGTCCTTTCTTTCTGACAAATCCGTTTTATCCGTTAATGATGTGGTCATCTGTATAGTTATTCGTTAACAGTCTTTGTTTTCGTTTTAGTGAAGACGATTATGATTTAGAAATATCTTCAAGGGAGTGGCCAACAAATAAATATTCGGTACGTCTATGAAACAAAAAGTTGGTGTGTTTTTTTCAGGAAAGATCAAGATATTTATTCTGGTTATAACAACAAAACATTTATTTATACAAAGTTATTTGCAATTTATCAAATTTTGACAAGAAAACAATAATGGACATTGATGTATACAGCCTGTATAGAAGTATTAAAAAATATAGCACTGTATTGTATACATAATATGAGTAACGCTAAATAATAGCATAATATGATAATAGTATTGTTGATGTAACACTGTGAGTATGCACATGTAGTGTAAGCAAGGTGAGTGACACTTTATCATAGCATATATAGAATGTGAGTAACGCACGCAATATGATAGTATTAATGATGTAACACTGTGAGTATATATATGTAGTGTAAGTAAGGGGAGTAACACTTTATCATAGCATACAGAATGTGAGTAACGCACGCAACATAATAGTATTAATGATGTAACACTGTGAGTATATATATGTAGTGTAAGTAAGGGGAGTAACACTTTATCATAGCATACAGAATGTGAGTAACGCACGCAACATAATAGTATTAATGATGTAACACTGTGAGTATATATATGTAGTGTAAGTAAGGTGAGTAACACTTTATCATAGCATACAAAATGTGAGTAATTATACCAGCGTAAGCAATGTAACACTGTATAGCAATAAACACAACGTGAGTAGCAACATATACTACTGTAAACAGGGAAATTTTCGTCTAAGTTTAATTTCGCCTTTTTCAACCTTCGCAATGAGGGCGAATTTATCACGAGGGCAACTTTCAGTACTCGGCATGCAATAAATAGTAATAGCACATGAAAACGAACGTAATACTGGGAAAATATGGAGGCTACCGGTGAAGGGCGAATATTTGACCGGGCAAAAATGTTCCGGTATACAGTAGTTGAAACAATGTGAATATGCATGTGTTGTCACCTGTGTATTGTTTGTATGTAGGGGTCTTATATAGGTTGTGCCTTTCGCCCAGTCCTTTTGTTTGACAATGTGCTATCTTTGTCAATACAGTCTGTATGTTGAAAGGAAAGGATTTGATTTACATTTTATTGCAGCATTAATAACGCAAGTTGTGAAAATGCGATCAAGCGATGCGGTATTCACACTTGAATTCTAAATGTAAGATTAACACCTTGGACTGGACCTTGAAACTTTTGTTATATATATATATATATATATATATATATATAGCATGCAAATTATGAATTACAGTGTGCCATACGGCTTTAATAATAACATAAGATAATATAAGAGTGTTACTTGGACATTATCAAATTTGCCTGATGTCTTGTCGAAAGGATATGCGTTTCTTAGTGCTGTTAGTATCTATAATATATCTTAATTTCATTTTGACGTTGATTTTCCAGTTTCTAATACGAGAAGCGATTTGCGAGGATTCCCCAGTCGATTGTGACATCCTTAGAAACTACACTATCGAAAACCTCCGGTAAGTGACATAAGTACAAAACACAATTACCCAGTAAACATATATATACAAAACGTACCAATTAGTCACAAAGTACAGTTTGTCACAAAGTACCTGTTAATCACAAAGGTACCAGTTAGTCACGAGTACAGTTTGTCACAACGTACCTGTTAATCACAAAGGTACCAGTTAGGCACAAAGGTACCAGTTAATCACAAAGTACCTGTTAATCACAAAGTACCTGTTAATCACAAAGTACAGTTTGTCACAAAGTACAGTTTGTCACAAAGTACCAGTTAGTCACAAAGTACAGTTAATCACAAAGTACCTGTTAGTCACAAAGTACAGTTAATCACAAATGTACCTGTTAGTCACAAAGTACAGTTAATCACAAAGTACCAGTTAGTCACAAAGTACAGTTTGTCACAAAGTACAGTTAGTCACAAAGTACCAGTTAGTCACAAAGTACAGTTAATCACAAATGTACCAGTTAGTCACAAAAGGTACCAATTAGTCACAAGAACAGTAAGTCATAAAAGTATTGGTTAATCATAAAAGTATTTGTTAATCATAATGGAATGTCTCACAAATAGAGCTTTTTGACTGAGACAACCAATGTTATCAACCAGTCTTTAAAATTATTAATTTGAAACAATTGTGCATATCACTTTTACAGATGCAGTTCTTTTCATCTTATGATTTGATCACACCAATATCTGTCGTCAATCATTTATGATAACTACATTAATTGTTCTCAATAATAAATCCTTTCGAACAATTCATATTAACTTATCATCCATAAAAAGTTATACATTGTTGTATTTCACTATCTGATGCTGATTACTGTGAAGATAATTTATATACTGGCGTTTTTACTTTCAATTTCAGGAGGAACTTTGTAAAGCTCGTAATATATTACAAACAGTTGAACTATCAATCTCTAAAAGAAGAGGCAGACATAGAGGTAATCCGTATTAATCTTGTATTTTATTGAGGAACGCTTTATTTTAAACACTTCAATACCGCACAACACTATGCTATGTACATTGTTATTCGTAAGACAAATCTCATTCATATCTAAGTGCAAAATGTAAATTTCTGAATCTCTTTTAAAACAATTCGTTTAAGTTCCTGTGAATTTATATCTTTTTAAAACTAAGTTTCCAAAGTTGACTATGAAAGTCCGGAGAAGTATATTTGTACTTTCAATGACACCCCGTGGAATTTGCTATATGAAGTTTATCAGTAATAATGGTTACATAAGAAAAATAGAATAAAAAAAATGATAACTGTGAAATAAACAACATGGAGACAAAAGTTCCTTGATAATATTGTACATGGATGTTTAGTTTTTGAATTTCTGTCCACTCTATTGCGTTAAAACATTGTTATAACTTGTTTTAAAATAACATCTTCATCTTTTGTTCGTTAGACATTCTAAAATCATTTGCAAAATACTAAGGTGTTGTTTTTTAAGTTGAACAAAACTTCATTTAGTCATAGTATATGTTCGTAAAACTGTGTTGTTTAACTCTTAAAAATATCGTCGAAATTAAGGATACTGCCATTTGGCAAGAGTCCAATACCTTTCAGCAGTATTTTGACTCTGCATAAGTTTTCTCATTGATTGCGAAACAACCTGTTTGTCTTTTAAGTATGTGATCATTGTCTGTCATTTCAATAAAGGATGACTCTCAGAATAAGAGGAGACTTATCAGTGTAAGCGTGCGTGCGGCTTGCTTTCGAGCCATCTTGTATCGTTTTGTGTTGTTTTTAGCTTATTAGGTTATTTTATCTGGTCGTTGGTTTTTTTCAGAATGCCCAGTTTGCCTCAGACGTTGGTGGAGCTATTGGACTCTGGATCGGTTTATCCATTCTCAGTATATTTGAGATTATACAGCTGATTGTAGAATTAGTGGGGTACTGTCTTTACCGAAATGAAAAGTTAAATGAGGAAACCAGAAGACGACAAAGAAACGACCCGACATATAGGCGCAAAAATGGCAATAGCCGGTACAACGACCGACCTGTGCATTACGTGACCAATTCTCGTGACCATGATGATAGGTATGGACCGCCTCCATCTTGGAATTCGTCCAAGGATATACCGGAAGTCAGGATTTACAAGGGGAGGAGATCGTCGTACGGTGGTTCTTCTAATGGTGACGCTCAATACTCACGGCCAACGTATTGATACATAAAACGGGGATATTATTTGATCATTTACACAAACAAATTTAGGAACAGTATGAACATGATATGGGTCGATCAACATTGACGATGATGAAGCGGCTGTTGCTATGCCATTAAACATTGATTTTACTAATACAACATGTTATACTAATTACAAAGCATTTAACAAAGTTTATCCTTAAGCAAATCCTCTAAATTATCCTCGATTTAATTTGTGTCTCATTTGTACAGTGTGTTCTACTCACTGTAAACAATCATCCAGTTTATGGCTACAAATATGAAACATTTGTAGGAAAGGATCTTAAGTAAAACATTGAACCACTATTTCGTTGATTATCTATATATATAAGCTACTTGTTAAACATTATTTAACGTTTTTGTTTTCACATATACAATTCATGACGTCAAACCAGTGGATTTTCTGGTAAACTCTCGTTACTCTGGAAACCAAAGGCGCTAAAATGAAACTTTCGATGGAAAATATTAACGAACAAATATGAAATGCTAAATTATATTTACATGACAAGGAAAAACACACAAACCTGACTTGCTCCTTTGGTAATTTCTGAGCGTTGGCGTTGAAATATATCTACCCATAAACGGAACGTTGAAACATCTTTTACATTGACACTGCCAGCATTTGTTTATTTGTTGGTATTGATATTCAGCTTTAATACACACGGAGGCATTGGTGCGTGTCTATACGTTAGGTTTATTTTGTTGTATATCAGTTGTGTTATTATATACGTATGTTTACGTTTTTTATATGAATCTCTTGCTCATAACTCATTTTTTTATGCAACTTGTCTTTATGTAACATGTGTTCTTTCTATACGTATAGCATATCAAATCCGTTCTAGCCGAATGATCGACAAATGAAATACATTTTATTTTGTCTGGCTGTGTGCCAGTAGTGTATAATATATTGGTACACTCAGGGACGTATATACTGTCCCTGGTACACTGTATTTGTTTTTATTGACACAGTATTCATACTATCTTAGCTAAATGTTTGAAAACTATGTCTCGTTTGTTTAAATTAAAAATTTACATTTTTTTTTAAATATACAGGTACATATATATTGCAATATTATAGTGCCTACGGTGGTAATACAAACTGATAAAGATAATAATTAAGTTTTATCTCATTTTTTCAACAATAATGACACGAGTTAATACAGCAACTTACATAATTAACTCTTATTAGCGAGGAGTGGTAGCGTGCGGGGAGTTTTAATGTGTAGAGGAAACCGGAGTACTAGGAGAAACCCCCACGTGGTCGGGCTGGCGATTCATACCCTTTTACGTCCTTTCGTGGAATAAATACTTTGATACCGTCAGCAGTGACGTGCCTAAGTCTTTCACGTTTCGTCATTTTCCGACTGAAGTCAATGTAAGGCACATATTTAAGATTGGCTTAAAAGGAATTGCTGCTAATACTTTAAAGTATTTCAGACCTGATATAGACTTATAGTCAGATCCACCAATTTCACTTTCAGTTGTATCAGAGGCGATTTTATTATAATTTGCTGCCAAACGTAACACTGGAATGTCTTTAGATAGATCAGTATCTTGATAATCTTACGGTTTACCATCAAGCGTAACCTCTTTATTGACAAATTTTGAGGTTTACGTGTTGATGAAATATACCGATTTATCTTGTAAAAATCACACATTAGTTCCGGTTTGGCTAATAATAAGCCAGTCTGACTTTTTTTTCTGCTGCTGTTGATATCTATCTTGTTTTATATTAATTTACTGTTTATTTATACATTGAACGCAATAAATGGCTATGTAAACTTAAAGTTTTGTACAAATATTGAGACTATTAAATTAAATATATTTTATCATATGGTTGTTTGTTATTCATGAATCTGCAAGATGCGTGTCAATATGCAGGAATATTTCCGGTTTTTTTTCTATTTGAAATATTTGTTTTCAACATTGGTTTTGACCTACGTAAAACCTAGCCCGAGTTCGGTCGATGTCGATGGACTAGCCCATCTGTGTTATGATTGTACCTTACACATGATAGCATTCCAATTATTTTTTTCAATGACATACCAACTGAGTTAACTGATCAACACAATAATTTAGGCAATATTCTATTTAAGCAATGACGGAAAATACACTTAATATACAGATGAATTCAATTAAAGAGTATCAAAAGATATGGTGAATGAACACTACGAAAATACACTAACACTTAACAGACACACCTTGGGGATGTATTCATGCATTTAGCATGAAGCCATTTTTAAATATGCTTATAAACTGTGGGATATACGGGGTTTTCAACTCGTATATTGTAGATGTTTCGTAGTATCTCGGAGTTATATCATCAGAAATCCTTCTTTAATAAATATTATTTTCTAGAAAACTCACTAGTTGGCTCAACTGTTTGACTAGTTAAGGATTTGTCTGTCGCCTACATTTCTTCTCACCCCCAGATCCATCTTTATTTCACACTCATAACAGATTTAGAATGTATAATCTTTTACTTGTGTAGTAGGATGAGGAATAGTGATAAAGATAGTGCCGTCGCCAGCGCTCGAACCCGCGACCCTTGGCTCTCCAGCCCGATGCTCTATCGCTGAGCTAAAGGGAAATTCCCTACAGCTGACGCTTGTAAGGCAATCTAATCAATGCACATCTTTATCACTTGTTTGGCAGACTGGTTCAATAGTTGAATCGTCTAGATAATACAGAAGGATAGCGAATACAACGAATAATTCAGGGAGGAAGAATAGAGGGTCAGTACTTTGGTATTTCACTATTGTTCGGATGCAGTACGAAGGGAAAAGATATATTAAAATGCAATCTTAATTGTGGTATTTCTTAGTGTCAAAGAAATTAGGTACCAACTTTATAACTGGTTTATTTTTTTATTTTATTTTCATTCTTAAAATACATTCAGAGCAAAATAAATTCCTTTCCCGCCAAAAACTGTTGCCCGATACATTGCGAGGGATGATATACTAGCTATGGCAAGTCTACTACTGATTAATGGACATTCCAGAAGGGAACTCACTCCTATTTACATAAATAAATGTCTTGACTTTGAATTATGATATTGATGTTAGTTTTACTATAAGAAAAATAACTGAGATGTTTAGATTTGTTTTCCTCTGCAATGAAACATATCGTCGACAAAGGGTTGACGAAATCGTGAATTTATGATATTCACTAAGATAATATTCCAACAGCTTCGAGCAGAAGGTAGCACGGATTTTTTTTCACGGAAATGACTTAAGTTGATAAAATAAGTCATGACTATATCACCGATTTTACTGTCCATGTATTGATTATTATGGAGGTTACATGCAGTCTCTTTCTACATAGTCTTACTGGTTGTGATAATACCGAACGTGAAACATTTTTCTTTATGAATTTATAAGTCTCATAATATATCTGGTGTATGGCATGAAGGGGAGCTTGTTGGGTAGGGGATGTACGTCCGATTCATCAGATTCGAGACAATATAGGTATTTTTGTAACATTATATATGTATTTTTTACATAACTTAATTAGGTCCTTTTTGCAGTATGTACGTGTAATGTCTGCATTTTACATGAAAAAATATTATTATTATCATTATGAGATAAAAACGTCATTAACATGATGCCATATTTTGAAATTAAATTACAGAGAACTGAAACGAACGCGCCTTCCTGGTTACAAAAACGCTTACATATGTCACTAATTCTGAAGCGTCTGTGCGAGTCCGACGATTGAAAAAACTGTAAACAAGTTAATGTCGAGTTGCAATAATTGAGAAAACTAAGCAACATACTCTGCTGACAGCGTCACACTGCAGGTGCTTTGTATAGGACAAGGTATCGAAGATCCCATTCTATCATATGCATGTATTTCATTTGGATGGATTTGTTCTAAACTCTCGTTCTTGTATTTTTCCTGTGGACATACTCTGATTCCGATATCATTAATATGGATCACAGTTGACATGTCTCGCGTCGATTACAGTTTTCTGTTGAAGGACAATCAACAACGGCTAGGTGGCTTAAATATTCGTGCTACACTAGATATATTAGGTTGCTGAACACATTGCTGTGCTAGTTAGTAGTTATTAGCATTTTAAAGCAATTTGTTCTAATCAAATGATTTTTTTTTTGTAAATTGTATGCAGTACACAGGTACGTGCATATGGATATATATCAAGCGTATGGGATTGAACACAGCTATTGCACATTATCTTGCAGGTTTTCAAAGTTAGGTATACGCTATTCACCCCGGGTTGACAATATGATTATGAATAAAAATAGAAATGTTAATATCTGGGAAACATTTTTTTCATGGACAGGTTTATTTATGGCTATGGAAAATAAAGGTAAAATACAAGGGGGAAGTTGGGCACTCCAAATAACATTCATACCATGACGTAAAAGAATACACACATGATTGCATGCCCAGTTACAATACAAAAAATAAAATGTTAATAACTTTTAATATGCAACAAATTAAACCACTTTATCAATTCATAATTTAAGTCATTCATAATCATACATTAAAACTTATAGTTTAAGTCATTCTCTTTGCCAAAACTTATTTGCATTCATGATCGGTTTGATATATATACACATTGCAAATGATGCAACAGTATAGCATGATCTTTGATTTCAGATTCTGACTGGATGACTTAAGTTTAAAACAATCCTTGGTATCAGAGGGATGACTCACCATCAGGAATCTGGACACAGGTAAGGACATATAGAACTCTTAAGTAAAAGCGTCAAGATGACATTAATTACTAAATGCCTGAGAGCTGTCATAAAAAGAGATAATATTTAACATAAATTTTATATGAACCATATATATATTTTTTTTCATTTTATAGTGCAGTGATCCGGAACAAACATCAATTATAATGCAGTATCATTAACATCGAATATTACTACAAATATCCCAGTGGCACAGTGGTATAACACTCTGGACTACCTAGTTTATTGATACGTGACCACCAGTCATGGGCCGCAAACCAATGTCAGTGTCCAGGTTTGGACCGAGATGTCCTACTGATGTGTCTGTGGAGTTTGCTGCTATATATCTCTCCAGTGACACTGTGGTTCTCTCTCATCCTTGACATCCAGGCGTTACACTCTCTGCACCTGGAATATGTCATAGCAAAATCGAAGGCTCAGTGTGCACCACCAGACTAGTTTGATCCTTTGATGTACATCAAAAGAATGTTGGAGTCCATAAGGGTAAAAATTGACCGACTTTGAAGTTGGGTGTTGCCCTTTTGTAATCTTCAAAGGACAGGTATCAACCTAGCGATTGGTCTGGATTTTTTTACCTGAGACCAATCAAACAGCTAACTTTGTGCCTTCAATTTTGTTCACAGATTGGTCCACTTGGATTTGAAAGGTGCTCCTCCAAAAGTGGATTACTTCGAAAAGGTAATTAAATTTAACTATTTCAATCAACTTAAACTAATCATGTGACATTGTAACTTGTACATGTCTTAACAGTGCCATGTTTAACCAGAAACATGACATATAACACAGATCTTTTCCTAGGTCACTGTGCATACATTGTCTGGGTAAAATTGAATTTGGTGCTATGTGCAACCTATTTATTCCAATCCAAAATATTGGCCTCTATATAGTGTGCATTTAAGACTAGATTTTTGCAAAATGTTCAAAAATTCTATGGAGAAGAAATAAAACAATTTCCACAACAAAATGAATGGCTGATTTGACAATGCCTGCTATTCCTGACAGGTCTTCCCCTTGCTGAAGAGCTTTGGTGCCACAGGACTGCTGATTGAGTATGAGGACATGTTTCCATATTGGGGAGACTTGGAGGAGATAGCATGTGAATATGCATACAGGTAACTTAACCATTAATAAACAATGTGTACCTGGATAAATTACATCTAGGTATAAAGCGCCACTGAAAATAAAAAATTCAGGGACAATAGAAGGGAAATTAACTGCTGTATGGATTGATAAACATGATTAAATTGTTACTGTTTATTTTGATCTGTTGTAAGTTCGCCTGTTACAAAGTACCAAGCCTAGGGTGATGCTTTTTCTGATGGCTGTCACTTTACTTGAATTATCTGATCTCTGTCAGCTTTTGCATTAAATGTCATCTCACAAACTACATGATAGATTTCAACCAATTCTAGGGCACCATATACTCAAACAAGAGGGATACAGAATTGTAGAAATACATGAGCTTGCCCTACTGGGGGCTGAGGGATGGAGTTAAAAGTGTCAAATCAGCCAACTTGTATTAAATAAAATCTACTTGCAAAATTCAGGACACATTTCTACCAAATTTTCCGTGGTAACATGCTTAGCCCATAGGTATATATTTGTATCTAAAGTCATACAAATAAACGAGTGCTTCCTATCTTAGAGCTTAGATACACAGTGTTAAAGGGGCTTAATTGGAACATTTGTTTTAAATAACATCTCTTCACAAACAACTGGGCAGGTTTCAACAAACTTGTGGTGGTAGCTAGCATCCTTTGCCCTTGGGAATCAAAAGTTATACAAATTAACTGGCTAACATTCCTAAGGGATCTCCACTCATACTAAAGGGCAGATTTCAGCCTCAATTCCACAACATATAAGATGAGCATACACAATTCCCGGCTGTTGGGCCTCCTGTTTATAGTTTACTTTCATGGTTTGTTTGCTGTTTTCTTTGTGTTGTTGACTGTTTACTTTGTGTTGTTGACTGTTTACTTTGTGTTGTTGACGTGTTGTTGACTGTTTACTTTGTGTTGTTTACAGTAAGGAAGCAGTAGAGAGGATCCAACAGCTAGCAGCAGACAATGACCTCATAGTCATCCCACTAGTACAGACGTTCGGCCATTTTGAGGTCAGTTTTAAATTTAAATCATTTTAATGATTATCACAGATAATCAAAGACTAATTTGCATCATGACATGTTTGTTGAAGCTTTAGAAGATCAATTAACTTATACTCAGTTATGAGATTAATTGAATATGGTAGCAAATTTATCACATTTTATGTTAATGTGTGGATACACTATATTTTGAATTTTTAAGGATATTTTATTCACATTAGAAGTCATTGTATTGAAATAATCCTGTTTTCTCTTTTCAGTTTGTTTTAAAGCATGACAAGTTTGTGTCTTTACGAGAAGTTGCCACTTTTCCGATGGCTCTGTGTCCCTCCAATCCGGGTAACTGTTCCACTGTTATATGTCGGCCCTTGTGTGATTTATCATGAAATGATGTGTTGTCAAACTGACAATCTGATTGTTAAAATTTCATTATTTTTAAGTTCTTAATTAATGTAAATGTTGTAAACAAACATTATTTCCCGAACATTAATATGTATATCTTTACAAGGTATTTGCTATGGGGTGTTTTCAGGACATCAGTTCAAGGTCACAAATTGATAACATTTTTTTTAAATACATTAACTCTGTCCTGGCCATAATTTCTATATTATTTTATTTGATAGGCATATGTATGTACATGGACCATAATTATAACTAGCTAGTTCATTAAACAGCTTGTCATTCTGTAATTACTGGACAACTAGCTAGTTCATTAAACAGCTTGTCATTCTGTAATTACTGGACAACTAGCTAGTTCATTAAACAGCTTGTCATTCTGTAATTACTGGACAACTAGCTAGTTCATTAAACAGCTTGTCATTCTGTAATTACTGGACAACTAGCTAGTTCATTAAACAGCTTGTCATTCTGTAATTACTGGACAACTAGCTAGTTCATTAAACAGCTTGTCATTCTGTAATTACTGGACAACAGTTTTAGCTCAATTTTAATGACATTACACTTTTTGAATTTACAAATTGGTTGATAAAATATAAAACATAAAATGTTTAGTCACTGCGATCCTTTAATCATTTCGAGTGGACCATATTTACAGATTGCAATACCATGCAGTACTTTATGTATGCATGAACTAGTATATGGAGTTTTAAGGTGAACCTTTCATCAATCAATAGGATTTTTAATAAAAAATATAACATTTCAAGGATGATGTCCGCCTCAGTTTTAATTCTTTAAGGTCATTGGAGTGTATTGATAAACGGAAACAGGAAGTACATCCCTAGCTGAAAATCCAATGTAGGGAGACAGTATCAGAATTTCCACAAATTCTAATGTTTAATATAAAACTGATGAATATTGTATGTTTATTATTGACAGAACAGTGTGTTCTCTCAATATTAAAGTATTTCAAAGCAATCCAGGCATTAATTCAGGTTTTTTTTATCAATGAGTCACATGTGTCCATTTTTCTGTACTTCAGGAAACTGGCTACCTATTTCACTACTGTGAAGTTTTTCAAGAACGATAACTCTTACCTGCAATTACTATGTGTATATGGTTTTATTATAAAATGTTAATTTTTATATCGTGTATAGAGAATTAATTTTACACAATTTCAGCATTTCTTAAATTGATGTACATTAATGCAATACTAATATATGTCAGTATCATTTTTAGGTCACTTGAGCTTTGCTCAAGTGACCTATTCCAATCGCTTTTCGTCCGTCGTCGTCCGTCGTCCGTCGTGCGTAAACTTTTACATTTTCAACTTCTTCTCAAGAACCAGTGGATGGATTTTTTTCAAACTTGGTCAGAATCATCCTTGGTAGATGAGGCTTCAAAATTGTAAAATTGGGATTCCTACCCCAACCCCTGGGGCCAGGGCGGGGCCCCAAAGGGAAAATTATCCAATATTTCAAAAATCTTCTTCTCCAGACTCAGAGGTACTACAGTGATTTTCTCTACGTGGAAAGAAAGATCATCAGGGGCTTTACTTAAATTGTAAATTTCAGGACCCCCGAGCTATCCGTTCTCCCTTGGGGAGGGGGTAAAGTTTACTATAGTTTATATAGGGAAATAACACTTTTGGGTATATTTTGACAACTTTCTGTAGGAAATTATTTTTACTTGGTGAGAATTATCCTTGGAGGTAGATGGTTTCAAATTGTAAAATTGAGATTCCTACCCCGACCCCTGGGGCCAGGGCGGGGCCCCAAAGGGAAAATTAATCAATATTTCAAAAATCTTCTTCTCCAGACTCAGAGGTACTACAGTGATTTTCTCTACGTGGAAAGAAAGATCATCAGGGGCTTTACTTAAATTGTAAATTTCAGGACCCCCGAGCTATCCGTTCTCCCTTGGGGAGGGGGTAAAGTTTACTATAGTTTATATAGGGAAATAACACTTTTGGGTATATTTTGACAACTTTCTGTAGGAAATTATTTTTACTTGGTGAGAATTATCCTTGGAGGTAGATGGTTTCAAATTGTAAAATTGAGATTCCTACCCCGACCCCTGGGGCCAGGGCGGGGCCCCAAAGGGAAAATTAATCAATATTTCAAAAATCTTCTTCTCCAGACTCAGAGGTACTACAGTGATTTTCTCTACGTGGAAAGAAAGATCATCAGGGGCTTTACTTAAATTGTAAATTTCAGGACCCCCGAGCTATCCGTTCTCCCTTGGGGAGGGGGTAAAGTTTACTATAGTTTATATAGGGAAATAACACTTTTGGGTATATTTTGACAACTTTCTGTAGGAAATTATTTTTACTTGGTGAGAATTATCCTTGGAGGTAGATGGTTTCAAATTGTAAAATTGAGATTCCTACCCCGACCCCTGGGGCCAGGGCGGGGCCCCAAAGGGAAAATTAATCAATATTTCAAAAATCTTCTTCTCCAGACTCAGAGGTACTACAGTGATTTTCTTTACGTGGAAAGAAAGATCATCAGGGGCTTTATTTAAATTGAAAATATCAGGACCCCGAGCTATCCGTTCTCCCTTGGGGAGGGGTTAACGTTTAATATAGTTTATATAGGGAAATAACACTTTTCGGTATATATTTTATCCATTTTCAGCAGAAAATTGCTCAAACTTAGTCAGAATCATCTTGGGTAAATGAGAGTTTTACTTTGTAAAATTAGGATTCCTGCCCCATCCCCAGGGGCTAGGGCGGGGCCCCAAAGGGAACATTTACCAATATTTTCAAATTCTTATCCATTGATGACATGACAAGTATTGTATTTCACTTAGTTTACATGCTGATTTCCACATCACATCTAAACAATAAAATAAAGCTACCAGTATCTATGATATAACTCAGGTGACCGCTAAGGCCCTTGGGCCTCTTGTTATTGACATTATTACATCCTTTTTACATAAATATCCATTTAAAATTCTTAAAATTCTGACAACCTATATTTTTTTTGTGGCAGAAAATTTTCTTTACTATAAAGCAATATAACTACAAAATTTGAAGAAATTCTACTGAGAAATGGTGACACAATCCTTTTACCTTAACATACACTAATGCTTTCCTCCACCACCAAAACCTGGCACGTCCATAAATGACCCTAGCTGTTAATAGGATGTAAAACACAAACAAACCAAAATTATACAATAATTACAGATTCCCTCACCGCTGTTACCATGATGATGGATCAGGTGATTGAGCTTCACCCCGCACTTCAGTGGTTCCACATCGGAGCTGACGAGGTAAGGATCACAATACACATATAACAATTCCTGACGTGCTCTAGGATGTCAATCAAAATTAATTGCAATTAGAACTTCTGGGCAATAAAAGCTTTGTCCTCCATGAAAGCTTTCTCAAAATTGGGACCTTTTAGATATCCTTCAGTCAAATGTCCTTCCAGCATACAAATTGAGCAACCCAAAATTCTAAATGTTTCTTTATTTTTTTTTTACATTAATCAAATTTGATTAGGCCAAAAAAAGATGTCTGTTTCAGGTAACATGTCTGAAAAAAATAGGGTAGGTCGGTAGTCAACTAATTGTATTTTAATGTTAATTTTTGATTTTTATGAATTAATATTATGTTTTATTTTAAATTTTATAATGCATTTCCACACATTACAATCATTAATTTGTCAAGAATAAGGTCAGACTCCCAGAACAGGAAGAAAGTACATTTTAATGAGAGGCTGTGAATTTTGCCTGGCTAATGAATTAATCTTGGACACAAAAATCACCATGGCCCTGTATAGCTAAATGACCACAGTTGTCGATGGGCCATTAAACACAAACAAACAAACAAATCTCAGACACAAGTAGATGATAAAATATCTAGGGAAGGTTGGTTGGGATACCTGAAACACACTTTTATTTTTGGTGTATTTTTTTTACTTTAATACACATAATTGTCAATAAAATGACAGGCTATATTTTCTGTGATAGGTTTACCACATTGGTGTCTGTGATAAGTGTAAGAAGAGGATGAGCCAGGAGAATTTAACCACACAGCAGCTCTTCTTCGCCCACACACAGGCTGTCCTCCTCTACCTTAAAGCCAAGCATCCCAATCTCAAACCGATCATGTGGGACGACATGTTACGCTTCACTGAACTTCCCGTTCTTCAAGGTAATCTTGTAATTTTCAGTGTATAGCTTATTGAACTCCCTGACGTCCCAGGTCATTAGACAGGATAGTAATTTTGTGGACTATGTGGAAGATTGGTCCATAGCTAAACATGTATTTATCCTCAATAAAGAATGTCACTCAGCTGTGCATACATTGGCTCCCAAGATCACGTTACTTAACTCAGCTATCCACTCTTCAAGGCCATTGGACACTAGTACTTCATTCATCTTCCAGTAAACCTCAAGGTTATCAAATTTCTCAACTTTCCACATTTAAGCTCATATGACGGACATACTTCACTCAGCTCTCTTAAATGCAAAATTGTAATTACAACTTCACTTCTTTTTTCATTCTTTAAAGTCATCTCACATTTTACCCCACTTTTTTGTCCGATGTGATAAAACATTTAACTCAGCAAAGTTGATTTTCTAACTTGACTCAACTAGCAGCCTTTCCTGATCACCTCTTGCTTAACACAGTCAATTTCTTCTCTTCCAGGATTTGCTTCCGTCTTGTTTGTCAGACCTTTCTCATGATTCAGAGCTTCGGTTTCATCTAATACCTTCTTAGTGGTCAGTGAACTCCAATGCTTTATTCGAGTTGGATAAGGTTATACCACAATTAAGTTTTAAGTGTAGTTAAGCATTAAATTGATCTATACATTCCTCTGTCTGTTTGGATCTGATGAAACCTTAAACTTCTGATCCATTGCACATTATTTGATGCAGTGTCATAAGTATGTTAACTCAATGTATTACTGAATTGTGTATCCAGTAATACACACAGCTGAATTGTGTATCCAGTAATACACACAACTGAATTGTGTATCCAGTAATACATACAGCTGAATTGTGTATCCAGTAATACACACAGCTGAATTGTGTATCCAGTAATACACACAGCTGATTTGTGTATCCAGAAATACACACAGCTGAATTGTGTAGCCAGTAATACACACATCTGAATTGTGTAGCCAGTAATACACACATCTGAATTGTGTATCCAGTAATACACACATCTGAATTGTGTATCCTGTAATACACACAGCTGAATTGTGTATCCAGTAATACACACAGCTGAATTGTGTATCCAGTAATACACACATCTGAATTGTGTATCCAGTAATACACACAGCTGAATTGTGTAGCCAGTAATACACACAGCTGAATTGTGTAGCCAGTAATACACACATCTGAATTGTGTATCCAGTAATATACACAGGTAAGATTACCCAAAGTCAAGTTCACAGCATGGTGAAAAATGCCAAGGCAATGCTTAACTCATTCACCCCTGAAATTTCATCATGAACTACCCCAACCTTTGAATTAGAAGAGTTCAAATGTGTCTTCAGGGGTGGATGAGTTAACCAAGTGTATTTGCTTAACTGCTGAATATTATTTGATGAAACTTGGTTGTGTCTCTCACTTTATACTTTATTTCTATTATAATCCATTCAATGTATGTGTATAAGTTGTAACCATGGTGATGATGTCTATTTAAGGGTCTGGACTCGGAGGCCTGGTGGAGGTGATGGTGTGGCACTACCTCACCAACTTCCAACTCCCTGCAGGTGTGTGTTACATTACTGATAATACAGTCTTGTTATTGTATTACAATATCTGATAACAATTACAATCATGCACATAACAATGCATGCTCTTAAATACAATTATACAAATATTATAACATAATATGTGTATTTAGATTAATATAAAAGTATACTAATTTGATTGTAAGGAATTATTTGACTTTCACTTTTTAGTTATAACATTTTACACACTAAAACATCAGAGTTCATGCTTGACTTACTATTTTATAAACACGTATTTATATATATTTTCTGTTCCCTCTAGACATATGGGATAAATTTTCTCAGGTGTTCCCCAACATCTGGGTTGCCAGTGCGTTTAAGGGGGCGACAGGCTCCAGTGTGTATACGACAAACATTAAATATCATGTGGAGAACCACCTCAGCTGGCTACAGATACTGGACAAGGAGAAAACCAAGTTCAACAACTTCCGTGGCTTTGCCATTACAGGTTGGCAGAGGTAAGATATCACCAAGGTTATCTCCCTTTAATTGATTCCACTCTGGCATGCTCCCATTAATTAATGCTTGCCCAGTATGTACATGGTGGGAGGAACAAACAGTACGGGTACACTCCACAAGTGATAAATTATAGAACAAATATCTTACTTTTGTTGTAGGCATGACCATAATATATGTCTTTGATTTGACCACTGTGTGTTGTAGGTATGACCACTGTGTTGTAGGCATGACCATAATATATGTCTTTGATTTGACCACTGTGTGTTGTAGGTTTGACCACTGTGTTGTAGGCATGACCATAATATATGTCTTAGATTTGACCACTGTGTGTTGTAGGTTTGACCACTGTGTTGTAGGCATGACCATAATATATGTCTTTGATTTGACCACTGTGTGTTGTAGGTTTGACCACTGTGTTGTAGGCATGACCATAATATATGTCTTAGATTTGACCACTGTGTGTTGTAGGTTTGACCACTTTGTGTTGTAGGTATGACCACTATGCCATACTTGTGTTGTAGGTATGACCACTATGCCATACTTGTGTTGTAGGTATGACCACTATGCCATACCTGTGTTGTAGGTATGACCACTATGCCATACTTGTGTTGTAGGTATGACCACTATGCCATACTTGTGTTGTAGGTATGACCACTATGCCATACTTGTGTTGTAGGTATGACCACTATGCCATACTTGTGTTGTAGGTATGACCACTATGCCATACTTGTGTTGTAGGTATGACCACTATGCCATACTTGTGTTGTAGGTATGACCACTATGCCATACTTGTGTTGTAGGTATGACCACTATGCCATACTTGTGTTGTAGGTATGACCACTATGCCATACTTGTGTTGTAGGTATGACCACTATGCCATACTGTGTGAGCTTCTACCACAGGCACTTCCATCTCTTGCCATTTGTTTGTCTATCATAAATAAAGGTCAGTGTGCTGGTTTATTTATCAACAGTTCACCAATACATGGTTTTATATTTGACAAGTTAGTATGGTTTTGATTCAGCAGCAAACTTAATCTGAAGAGATAACTAACATTTTCATATGCTTGTTGTAATATCACTGAAATTGTATAATTACGTGATACATTTTATTCCAACAGTTGATATTGCAAGGCCATTCAATAAACTATCATTATTGCCTAACTCAAGGCCACATTCTATTGCCTAACTCCTGCTATTTAAACTTATCCTGTTGACGATGGTGATTTTGACTGATTTAAAAGATTTATGGTTTTAAAGGCTTGTTGTGATATGACATTGAATGCTATAATATGATAATGAAGATTGATGTTAATTACTGGACCAGGTACAATTAAATATCTTAACAGGAACGTTCTCCTTTGATATCCACAACGAGGTTTCCAAACAACTGAAATCCAACTGCCTCATTCCCATTAATGCACCACATTTGTAAGTATACACTTTGATATTCCTGATACAATAGGATGAATTTAATGTGCATCGGATATATGTTATGAAAAGAAAAAGAAAAGGAAAAGCGGTTATGGATATATACTCTTATTACACAAATGTAATGAAATTAAATGTTGTAAGACAAAATTAATAAAAAAGAATCTTGTTTGTATCAATAGTTTTTTGGATAATTTAAAACCACTGTAAAAGGTTAAGATAATAAGTGATCATGATATGCAGTTTTGCTGATTTTGGTCCTAGTTCCGTTTTGACACTTGGTGTGATGATTAAAATAGGTTATTAAGTAGATATAAATAAATTTTGTTTTAAGATTAATATATTAAAATATTTAAAATAGACATAAATAACTTGTGTTTTAGGACCGAGATCCCCCATAGCGAATTCCCAGGGTCGGACGTATACAAGGCTATGCTCGAGTTTATTCGGGTAGATCTGGCTTTTGATGACTTCATGAACAATGAGGCGTGAGTACATTTCTTTTTATACGCCCGTCAAATTTGACGGGAGTATAATGGTATGGCGTTGTCCGGCCGGCCGGCATAAACTTTTGTTTGCCTGGCAATCTCCTCCTACATTTTTCGACCGATCTCTTTGACACTTTGTATACATTATAATCATGATGTGAAGTTGTGTCTCCCTTAAAAGAATTTTGATTCAACAATTTTTGCAAAAGTTAATGCCCTTTGTTTATTTCAGTATTTGATTTTTGTCCATCAATCTCCTCCTACATTTTTCAACGGATCTCTTTGAAACATAGTAGGCTAAATAATCATGATATGTTGTAGTGTTTCCTTGAAAAGAATTTTGATTCGATAATTTTCGCAAAAGTTATTGCCCTTTGTTCATTTCAGGATTTGTTTTTTTTAACCAGAGATTTTCTCCTACATTTTTATAGCATGTCAGCTAACCACTCTTTGAATGATGCAGATCTTATTTCAATGTAAGAAAGTATATAACACTATATGGCATTCGACGTGCTTATATTGTTTCGCCCCGCAGAACTCTTGTTTACATTGTTATTGTAATGATAGCATTGATATTACTGATTTATTTTTAAAAAGAATGTATTCTTGGTAAATTAAATAATTATTTAATTAGATTTGAAAATCAAATAGATCCTTTATTCAGAAGCATTTCTTACCTGAATTTCTAACTTTTGTATTGAAGCTAGTGTTATAGTAATAATTATATGCCTCAGGCATTTGGCAACTGTTGTACTGATATATCTAGAATTCATTTTTTTTTTATTTTCACAATATTTTGACATGAACTATTGCATTGAACTGCTATCTGATTCAGGCGTTTGACTTGGATGAACGAGTACCACTTGAAGCGTAACTTTGCCAACCCTGTCCACGTGGAACCTCTACTGGCACAGGCTGTAGAGTAAGTAACATTACTGATGTCACAGAATCTTAAATGTGGAGGACACCTTACCAGGAATATAGATTCTCTTACATATATTTAACAGCCTGTATACTGGCTCAAGCTGTAGAGTAAGTAACATTACTGATGTCACAGAATCTTAAATGTGGAGGACACCTTACCAGGAATATAGATTCTCTTACATATATTTAACAGCCTGTATACTGGCTCAAGCTGTAGAGTAAGTAACATTACTGATGTCACAGAATCTTAAATGTGGAGGACACCTTACCAGGAATATAGATTCTCTTACATATATTTAACAGCCTGTATACTGGCTCAAGCTGTAGAGTAAGTAACATTACTGATGTCACAGAATCTTAAATGTGGAGGACACCTTACCAGGAATATAGATTCTCTTACATATATTTAACAGCCTGTATACTGGCTCAAGCTGTAGAGTAAGTAACATTACTGATGTCACAGAATCTTAAATGTGGAGGACACCTTACCAGGAATATAGATTCTCTTACATATATTTAACAGCCTGTATACTGGCTCAAGCTGTAGAGTAAGTAACATTACTGATGTCACAGAATCTTAAATGTGGAGGACACCTTACCAGGAATATAGATTCTCTTACATATATTTAACAGCCTGTATACTGGCTCAAGCTGTAGAGTAAGTAACATTACTGATGTCACAGAATCTTAAATGTGGAGGACACCTTACCAGGAATATAGATTCTCTTACATATATTTAACAGCCTGTATACTGGCACAAGCTGTAGAGTAAGTAACATTACTGATGTCACAGAATCTTAAATGTGGAGGACACCTTACCAGGAATATAGATTCTCTTACATGTATTTAACAGCCTGTATACTGGCTCAAGCTGTAGAGTAAGTAACATTACTGATGTCACAGAATCTTAAATGTGGAGGACACCTTACCAGGAATATAGATCCTCTTACATATATTTAACAGCCTGTATACAATATTTAATGGGCACATACATAATGTAAAAATGTTTTTAGCTTGAAATTACCTGCCCTTCTTGTTCTGTATGTAGCCAAGACGATATATCAAAGTGTTCATTTTAATTTGCAAGGGTTTTCATATACTTAAACTTAAAAATCTGCTAATAAACATTCAGGTATATGTGTTTCCAGTTGTAGAATAATTTTCTTCAAAGCTGAAATGAAGTAGTTTTTACCATTAAATGATGCAACAAAGAGTACTGTTGTCAGGGCATACTATCTTTTCTCTCCTTCAGATTTCATTTCCACATTGTTTGAAACTTGTTCAAATTTCACCTTTATCCTGTTGTTAGTTCTGGCTGGATATGAGTGCAGTAGTTAGTCTGTTAGACTCGGATTCTATTTCTGACTCGCATGCTGTTAATGAAATTCTAAGTAACTTTATTTATGTTAGGCTTTAATATGAAGGTTATTTGTGGAACCAAGCCACAAAGAGTGGCTGGTAATTGAGGTGGTACATTTAATTTCTGTGACTCATTCTAATGTAAAATTATTTTGTACACAGAATCTTGGACAGCCTACAAATGATATACAAAAGTCTACAGACAACCTTGTCCCAGGTTTTTTACCCCAACACCGTCGAGGAGTGGCTCACTGTCTTCCCTGGATACCGCATCGCCAAACTTTCCGAGGTTATCGACACTGTCCGAAATAACCTGGGTCATAATAAGGACATGCAGACCTGAGGGAGGTCCTCAAACAGACACTAGTGTGTGTAACAACAGATTTCAGTAAAACTGGAAATAATGTCAGTGTTTTACTGTTTAGTTTTCCCAGAAGTAGCCTTATTTTTCTGAGGAGTAGTACGTTTTATTGCTTATCAAGATGCGAATTGGGAAAATAAGAAATTGTTCGCTGCAGTTTGAAATCTATATATTACATTTACAGCAATCACAAAAAATTCTGAAATATAGAATACCAAAATATATGAAATACTTATGAAATATAAAATGTGTGTCCTGTTTGGCAAATGCTGGATGACAAATGTACTGGGAATTATACGGCTTAATTTGTCTGAAGCAGTTTTTATATCAAATTGAGAATAGTGTTAAAAATCTTTGCAATAACTTCTTTGTGCATGAGTGTGCAAAATTAAATCGGTGGCCAAGTGGTTAAGGCGTCCGACAGTTTGCTACCACTAGCCCTCCACCACTGGGTCACAGGTTCAAGACTTAAGTGGGGCAGTGGCCAGGTACTGGCCATGCATAGGTCAGTGTTTTTTCTCCGGAACTCCAGCTTTCATTAAATGACCATAGCTGTTAATAGGACATAAAACACAAACAAACCAAACCAAATGGACCAGTCAAGAACAACTAGGCTTAAGGTTCAGCTACTAGCTAATATTAGTCTTAGATGGTGTGCAATATTGACCTGCTCTTGTATTGTGATGTCCTATATGTTGTGATAAATTAGCCTCGCGCCAGAGCTCTCACAGTTTCCTCACCAATGTCATCGTTTGTTTTATGGATATGTACCGTGTGGGTTAAAGAGGTAAAACTTAGAAAAAGTATCATTGATAGGAGTGAGGATTAAATAGATAAAATATTGAGAAATGTTTTCTATTTGTTATGTGTATGTATTGCAGATCAGTGATATAAAACATATAAAAAAGATGATGGATATTACTTACCATGAGTGTTCAGCTCAATGATTATTATAAATGGCTCTGTGTGTCTGTATTTATTTATATATATATTGATAGCAAACCATCACTTGAATACTTAATGTGCTTATATAATTGAGCTATTGCTAGTAACAAGGTATTAATTTTCATTCTTGCAATGAACCATATGTTATGTACATAATATGTTGGAAGCAAGCTGAGAATATTTCATGTACTTATACATTTTGTTGAAAGTGAAATCTTGTGTGAAAAGGCCATTGAAGGCAATAGGGATTATATCCTAGATGCTCCAAACTCCAAACACAAAGTGTAATATTGTGTATTGACACCAAGGCAAGTCTGGAAATCACCATTTGATTGGGAAAATTCGTAATATGAACGAACCTCTACAGCTGATTTTCGTTATTGTGAATAAAATAAACTCAAATAACTCATACAGTAAGTGTGAGTGCTAATCAACTAAAGATATATACAGTATTACCAGTATTTGATGAAAGCTGTGTCTAGGTGATGTTTGATATACTAGTATCTCGAATGAAGGGAGATCAATATTGCATCAGTACTGGTTCTTCTAATATGATCATGTACGGGCCGTTACTTTTAAACCAAACCTGTAGTATAACTGCATCATCAATGATGTGCAATGCAGTGTCATTAGGTCACTGTGGCCTTTACCTCAAGGTCAAAGGTAAAAAAAAGTCTGATTATTTCAAACATTTAAAGGTGTATGCCTAAGTGATGACAATGGTCCCTCGATCACTGTATCTAATTTTGCTTAATTTAGTTTAATTATATATAACGGCATTGTTAACTCTATCAAAGCATTATTTGTGACTATGGAGTCAGTTTTGAGGACTTCTAACTTGTGCATAAATGCATTTTATAACTTAGCAGTAGGCAATTCCTCTAATAAAAAGGTAAAGTTAGTGCTAAGTTGAAGATATCCTGATAAAATTTGCAGGATATCTGCATCACCCAGAGACGATGTACAGTATACTGTCACTAGGTTACTGTCAAAGGTCAAATATGTGCACAGTTATTAGGAATATCTTGTCTGGGCCGTAACTTTTAAACAGTTAAATAGGAGACATACGTTTTTGTTCACAAAAACAAATCTCTAGTTCTAAATGTTTTAATGATTGGTGAACAAAGTCAGGATATCATTTTTTAATTATTTTTCATCTTAGAATCGAACCAGTGAAGTTGAATAAAAGTAGCAGTTTAAAAATGATGTATACTTAATGTAGAGAATAAAACATGAGAAAGCGGGACATATATGTTCTGTTAGAGGTTTGACAATTTTATTATCTCCGAGGTAAATGAATATTTTTATGACTATGATGATATATTGTGCTGTTTATTATATTACATTTAATGATCTGTATGCTCAATAGTTATGACATGGTACTTAAATATTACACATCATGCCTCTCCGTTGATTTGCCAATCCATCATGCATCATATTTTTATTAGTCAGTCATTTTCACTAGTTTAGAACAAACATTTATTCTATATTTCCAAATTTTGAGATATATATCTGGTTTAAACAATCATTAGAAAAAAAATCACTGTTCTAAAATTTTAGTTGCAATCATTTTAGTACAGAAATGTTTGACACAAGATGTTACCGAGAAATTCGCTGTATAAATCTTTCTTCTATTATCTGGTTAAGTGGATTTACAGGTAGCTGTATAGTGTTTGTTGAAAGTCTAATATAAAAATGATAACCAAATGTTGTCACAATGCTGAGATGGTAGCTTGTATATAGTAATGAGTAGGTCAACTAGTAACAGTTACAGATTCTGCTAATTCTTCTAAAACGCCTTATTAGGTATAATTATTGTGTCGCATCACCAGTAAATATGCCTCTCTAGGCCCCAAAAAATGCTTACAGCTAAATCTCGGTGAAAATTATGGTATGTAGGTACATGTACAGGTTAATTTTTATCTTTTAATCATGATCTGACATTGTTTTGTTAATAATAATGATTACAAGACTGCTTTCAAACCGCTTATTAAACTTTTTAATTCAATTGCTGAAGTAAGAAAATCAGTTTGATGATTAACTATTTACTTTTTTTTTCCAGAAGAATTTTATTGTAACCTTCAAGAAGCCAAATTAAAAATTTTGGGATCTGCATTTCATAGCAAACAATGTTGGGGTAGGATTAAGGGAACCCCAAACTCATGTTTGGGCCTTATACATATTATATCTGTGATTTAGAGAAGAGTTGCCTCTCTTATAGTAATCCTGATTATGATCTCTGAATGCTTTCTTGTGTACCTTTCAAATATGTCATAATTTCATGTGCACTTACCAAATGTGTCATCAGTTTTTGTGTACTTTCCAAATGTGTCATCAGTTTTTGTGTACTCTACAACTATGTAATAAGTTTCTGTGTACTTTTCAAATGTCATCAATTAACCATTTTCCAATTATCATTCATCAAGAAGTATGACATTTAGTAAGATGACCCTGAAGTCCTCAGAGATAAATGGCACAACGAGGTGACTACAAACCTACATACATTATATACAAAAAAGTATGACTTTATATCCGATAAGTTTTTGATAAGACTAATATACATGTATCAGTTTTGTTCTCCCACCCAAATATATTGTTGAGTGATAGAAAGGTGGACCATGATTATAATTATGGATTGATTTTTGATAAGTTAAAGACAGGGATAAATGTCGAAAAGTTTCATGCTGTATGTATCTAGTGTATGGGATATTGTCTTGCAAAATGTGCACTTTGTCTTTAAAATATCAACTGTCTCTTTTTAAATCATTATTATCTTGCTAGAAATCAAAGCTCAATTTCAAACTGATAACCATTAAATTAAATTAAAAATTAAGACGAACACTGGTTTATCTTTCTTAAACATTTTCTAAAATTAATTTGACAAGTGACATTGAGAAACCAAAACCAAATAATTTTGGTTGGTTATAGACAGATTAGATTTTTTTAGAAAATTTCCTGGGTAGAAATTATGTCGGTGCATTTTATTAATTTCATTACATTGCTGATTGAGAAAGGATTCTGTTCTCATTTATACCAGGTTTTGTATTTACTTGTTCCAATAATACATATTTGTTTCATCTCGGTGATGGAATTGTAATATGAAGTGGTGATACACAGCTGGAATGGAATCGACCCTATCAGTGTTTACAAAGAGCCATATTATAAGATAAAGCTTGGTTCATTTACCTTTCACATTGACGAAGATTAAATTGTCACTTTATTTTGAACAATAACTCTTTCTGTTGTTTATTTAACCAATTTGATCTTATAAATTGAGCAACAAAGCTGTAATTGTTCAAAGCAAATCATGCATATGAACGTACATTTACCCCTAAAGATAATGGAGGGACAAGAGTGACGACCATACAGAACATATATTACCCGGTACAGGGTAATATATACCCATTTGAAGATAGTTGTGACTTAAATTATTACCATTGTAAATTGTAGGTCTAGTCTTGTTTCTTTGCTAATGAAAATCCTTTGTAAAATTAATATCACCCTTGGAAAGAAAACATTAAAATGGTGAATCACAAAGTCATGTTGTATTTATTTATTTTTTGTCGTTTTAGATTAAAAACAGGCTTTCGCAGATAACAGTTCTTTTCACTGAATATCAAATGGGTGTTGAAGACATGCCAGTTCAGATCCAATAAATGCAACTATCAGCATGTGAACCACCAAACCACAGTGAATAGATGATTCAGCGAAAATAATGCTGGCTGCGTTGTTGATGTTTTCAGAAAACTTTAATCATCACAACCACGTACGTTGCAATCCAGATTATTTCTTCTTCTTACTCTTCGGCATTTTTTCAAGTCCAGTGACATATTTCCTCGGTACTTTAAATTTTTCTGGAAGAGAAAAAATATTCAATATCATGCAACATGAAATAAATCATAAACAAGTTTCATTTCGTCAAATTTTCAACACAGTTTGAATCTTTCTGAAATATTAATTATCCTTATTGCTTTTAAGATGACATCAAGAGTTGTATGACAATATCTACCTGTTTGATGCATTAGATACAATCATGATGCTAAACCAAGAGATTTCATTCGATACCTTAGAAAATGGTCCAATGAAAGGACGGGGTTAGTACAGGAATATTACTGCGAAATTCAAGGCTCTTTTGGGACCCTTTTAACCAATAATAAGGCGTAAAATCTCCCACCATTTGTAAATGATCAGAATACAGAGACCCAGAGGTGTAACCAGGATTCCTTGAGCTAGACTCGTTAAATGATGCTAAAAATAAAATATAACACTGGTTGTTTTCTGGAAAATTTGGAAATTCACTGGTGCTGAATAATCAATATCTTGTATTTTATGACCATGATTTTGATTGAAAATAACAACCATCAAACTGAATGTACCACCATAAGTAAATGATCATTAAGTCCAACTCAAGACATTTTATCTTCAAAAAGATTTATCAGTTTGAAAATATGTGATATCAAAGTTTTACTTTTTACACAAACAATGTACGTATTAAACGTGTCGCAATGTTTCAAGACCGACTGGTCCCTTTAAATCTGTCGAGCTATGACTCGTGATCAATCGGTCTTGAAACGTTGCGACACGTTTAATACGTACATTGATTGTGTAAAAAGTAAAACTTTGATAAGAATTTTTTATTATTAGACTTAGGGGCTTTGAGGGCACTTTCATCTATTTTAAAGGCTTTTCAAGTCCAACCCTTATTTTATAGCCTTTTCAATCCTATATTAATATTAAAATCCTACTATGATTACTGTACCACGCAGCTTACCTAGGAGGAGGTCTGCAACGAATCTCACTTGGTTACCCTGTATGAGAACCTGCATGCCCTTGCCCTTCTGTGGGTGGGGAATAACACTGGTGCTACATGCCACGCCCACCTGAACACGATGGGCTAAATCTGTTGCATCAATACCAAACGTCTCTAAGTTGTCTATCAAAGTGGCCTACAATTTAAAAAGACAGAGTTTAGACATATTTTTGAAAGATCACTGCCATACAGTTTTGTGTGTTTTTCATAATATTTCAGATGACATGTATACTACACAAAACGAACTATCAGATACTGTCTAAATTTTCTGGCAAATCTAGTCAAACGGTTGTAGTTTGAATAGACAAATGAAGCATGTACTGCCCAGCATGCTACAGAGCGGGAGGCGCAGACCGAGGGTCCGTACCAGTAGCATTAGTAGAAGCGTCAGTAGTAGTCGAAGACTAATGGTATGACGTCGACAACGGTGAGTTAGGCGAGTTAAGTAATAATTCCTTTCCCCATAGCCGGTAGTTATGATCTGTTGGCAACGTCCCTTATGGTGACACATCACTTTCAGTGGCTGATGCTGGTATGCGTATTTGTCAAGTTATTAAGATATTTCGAAAAAGTTAAAAAATAAAAAGTCATGGCCCAGATATACATTCACTAGAACCAGAAGAACTGATGCTTACTTAGACAATATGTATCCCTTCTATAGCGGGGAAGATTTCATAACTCATACTTATACCCAGGGGTACTTGAACGATAAGTGTTTAACAATAGCACAATTATATAAATTGTATGGAATGTTTGTTAATTATAAACTATACTAGAAAAGCACACAGTATGTAAAATAAAATATTTAGTTATTTAAGTAATTGTAATTGTAAATCAGACGCCTTATTTTTGCTTTCCTTGGCAGTATGTTATCAATGATTGTTCTATCAACTGTTTTATTCACACCATATATTTGACGATATTATTCAAATTTTTAGCCTTTAACTGTAGTGAACATTTTGACAATGAAGTTTAATCATTTGAATTCCCATTACAAGTGTTCAAAGTCACCTTTTTGTTGCTGGCCCGCTGTTCCACTGTGATTCTGATGGGTTCTAACTTTCCCTTTGATATGACGGCTGGCTTTCCTGGGTATGTCACACTAAAAGCTGGCTGTGCTTTACTTAAAACCCTGGTAACAGACAACAGTTTAATATCAACACCCTGGTAACAGATAACAGATTTATATCAACACCCTGGTAACAGATAACAGTTAAATATCAACACCCTGGTAACAGAGAACAAATTTATATCAACACCCTGGTAACAGATAACAGTTTAATATCAACACCCTGGTAACAGATAACAGTTTAATATCAACACCCTGGTAACAGATAACAGTTAAATATCAACACCCTGGTAACAGATAACAATTAAATATCAACACCCTGGTAACGATAACAATTTAATGTATATTAAATGATTTTTAGAAAATTCCAATTCCTCAAGGTGAGGCCCAGGCTATATTTGAGAACACCAGAAAGATGTCTTAAAGAGATATTTACATTAACAAGAGTCCCATGGTATGGGCTTAAACAGTCATCTGCTTGTATAACTATTTTTTTCAAAGAAAAGGGGGTCATCACAGCCATATGCATTTTTGTTTGACCTGAAATTACACAGATCATCAGCTGTTCCAAGCTTCAGTTAAATTTTCCTTTATTTTTCTTTGGCAGTCATATTGGACTTCTGACTTGCTCCAAAAGTGCCAACGCTTGGCCAGCTGGACCCCAAATGAACATTTCTATGTTAAGGTTTTGTTGAAATCCCCGCACAAAACTGGACAATAAGTACAAAACAGATTTTCAAGATTCAACTTTATTACTTGTAGAAAACACCATCTGTTGACAATGATCTTGACCCTGAATAACTTAGAGAAAACACCTCCCAAGAGCAATGACCTTGACCTGAACTTACTTGAGGAAGACATTTTCCCAGAGCAATGACATTGACCTTAACTTACTTGAGGAAGACATTTTCCCAGAGCAATGACCTTGACCTTTACTTACTTGGAAAAGACATCTTCCCAATTCATGTAGAGGGTGTTGCCCTCCCCTTTGTTTAAGACAATGTCTGCTAAATGAGGGTCTAGCTGGATTTGTCTGTAACAGAAATCAAACATGTTATAATATATTGACCAAAATTAATCATCTAATTCATGGCTCATATGAACATTGGAAATATATTAAACTATAAACCATTACTTTTTGCCCAATCAATCCTGGCCCTATAAAACAAATGTCAGGTGGTGAATTTTCCCACTTGCTCAGGTAAACTTACAGTTTATTTATATCCTTGTGTTGCACCTACACTCTTATTTACAAAGAAAACAAAAGTTAACATATCCTGTTACGTACAGTAATGTATCAGGTATTATCTGTTCTTTAATATGAAATTTAAAAAAAGATGAAACAGATAAACAGACCAAAATATAGATAATAACAAAATCAAATAATTTATTATTGGAAGATGAATGTTATAGGGAGATACCTCAGTCAGTATTTAGTTGATTGAGAAAATAAAATTATCAATAACATCAGTACATTGATAAATTGACAAACAAGTTCATTTGGGGTATAAGAAGTGTGTAAACTTTCACCAAAATCCATGCATAGGACTATAGGAGGAGTAGGAGGTACAGCATTTTGTCTACAGACAGACAGACAGACAGACAGACAGAGTGATTCCAGTACAAGTATACCCCCCACCCCCTAACTATGTTGCGAGGGGTATGAGAGAAAAATCTGTACTTATTGAGATATAGTGATAACAAACTTGAACTCTTAAAACTGAAGATGGCTGCCTTGAGGTCATCTTCTTTTGCTGGTCAGTCTCAAAATGAAACATGCACAGCTACAGACCAAGGGCCACCTTAAATCAAACTTAAGTTAAAATATCCTAGGAAGTTTCCATTTTTATCTGGGCCATATGGTGGGTGAGTGGTTAATTAGGTGTCTGACTATATATGATCACCACTGGGTCACAGGTTTGAGGCCTACATGGGGCAGTTGCCAGGTACATGTACTGCCCACAGGTTTGAGGCCCACATGGGGCAGTTGCCATGTAAACGTACTGCCCGCAGGTTTGAGGCCTACATGGGGCAGTTGGCATGTACACGTACTGCCCCCAGGTTTGAGGCCTACATGGGGCAGTTGGCATGTACACGTACTGCCCCCAGGTTTGAGGCCTACATGGGGCAGTTACCAGGTACACGTACTGCCCACAGGTTTGAGGCCTACCTGGGGCAGTTGCCATGTAAACGTACTGCCCCCAGGTTTGAGGCCTACATGGGGCAGTTGGCATGTACACGTACTGCCCCCAGGTTTGAGGCCTACATGGGGCAGTTACCAGGTACACGTACTGCCCACAGGTTTGAGGCCTACCTGGGGCAGTTGCCATGTAAACGTACTGCCTACAGGTTTGAGGCCTACATGGGGCAGTTGGCATGTACACGTACTGCCCCCAGGTTTGAGGCCTACATGGGGCAGTTACCAGGTACACGTACTGCCCACAGGTTTGAGGCCTACATGGCGCAGTTGCCAGGTACACGTACTGCCCACAGGTTTGCGGCCTACATGGGGCAGTTGCCAGGAACATGTACTGCCCACAGGTTTTAGGCCTACATGGGGCAGTTGCCATGTACACGTACTGCCCACAGGTTTGAGGCCTACCTGGGGCAGTTGCCATGTAAACGTACTGCCTACAGGTTTGAGGCCTACATGGGGCAGTTGCCATGCAAACGTACTGCCCACAGGTTTGAGGCCTACATGGCGCAGTTGCCAGGTACACGTACTGCCCACGGGTTTGAGGCCTACATGGGGCAGTTGCCAGGGACACGTACTGCCCACAGGTTTGAGGCCTACCTGGGGCAGTTGCCATGTAAACGTACTGCCTACAGGTTTGAGGCCTACATGGGGCAGTTGGCATGTACACGTACTGCCCCCAGGTTTGAGGCCTACATGGGGCAGTTACCAGGTACACGTACTGCCCACAGGTTTGCGGCCTACATGGGGCAGTTGCCAGGTACATGTACTGCCCACAGGTTTGAGGCCTACATGGCGCAGTTGCCAGGTACACGTACTGCCCACGGGTTTGAGGCCTACATGGGGCAGTTGCCATCTAAACGTACTGCCCACAGGTTTGAGGCCTACATGGCGCAGTTGCCAGGTACACGTACTGCCCACGGGTTTGAGGCCTACATGGGGCAGTTGCCAGGAACACGTACTGCCCACAGGTTTGAGGCCTACATGGGGCAGTTGCCAGGAACATGTACTGCCCACAGGTTTGAGGCCTACATGGGGCAGTTGCCATGTAAACGAACTGCCCACAGGTTTGAGGCCTACATGGGGCAGTTGCCAGGGACACGTACTGGCCGCAGGTTGTTGGTTTTTCTCCCGGTACTCTGGCTTCCCTCCACCTTCAAAACCTGGTTCACCCTTAAATGACCATAGTTATCAATGGGACATAGAGCACAAGAAACAGGGGGTATAACTATTAAATCATTAAGGGATTCCACTTTTCGTCATATTACATAGAATAAATAGATTACTGATGTCCCACATTGTATCTGACTAAATGGATATTTTGATGAATTTAGACAACACCTTTTATTGTTTTCATCCTGCAGGTTGTTATCCCTGACGTAGTCTGTGATTAAGGTCCTCATCTCCTGTCCTGTCAGCGCACTGCCCTTACTGTGTCAACAGAAACAGTGATTTAACAAAACCATTTCCCAGGCGTGTAAATGAGTCGGTCATATCAAAATGTTATTCCTTTGGATACATAGCCCATGAATCTTTTTCATCTTACTTCTAAAATTGTCTGACAAAAAATGTTCATAAAGTGTATGGCACAAGACACTTTTAATGTGAAAGTTTTTAATTTTCACTGGATTATCATATCAATATGTTTAAAAATCTGATTGTAAAACTAAGAAAACTTCTTTGCAGTTGACCTGGTCAGGCTCAACGTTAACTGCACCAGACAATTTCAATTTTACCTGTGGCCATACGGTTTAACAAGATGTACTAAAGCTGACGGGATGGAAAACATCTCTGTGATAATTGGGGTTTGGAAAGATTCTGCAGCGGTGGCGCCAGCTACTCCAAATGACCGTTCCAGGTCTGACGCGTTTATGTCTTCCAACCTGAAGACAGATGTAGATATCAAAACAACAAAAAACCTAAGCTCAATCTCATTTTCTACTACAGCACAAAATGGACTAGAAGAGATTGAAGTGAAGACAGTGACTGATCAGAATGCAGTATGCTAGTTAGTACAGTGCAGATTTCATTAACCTTTAAAGTCATTGTATATATTAAATACACTCATCCTAGATATATCTGGTCTGGTCTACACTCACCCTAAATGTGTCTGGTCTTCACTCGCCCTAGATGTGTCTGGTCTACACACACCCTAGATGTGTCTGGTCTGGACTACACCCACCCTAGATTTGTCTGGTCTACACTCACCCTAGGTGTGTCTGGTCTACACTAACCTAGGAGTGTCTGGTCTTCACTCACCCTAGATGCGTCTGGTCTACACTCACCCTAGATGGGTCTGGTCTACACTCATCCTAGATGTGTCTGGTCTACACTCACCCTAGATGTGTCTGGTCTACACTAACCTAGAAGTGTCTGGTCTACACTCACCCTAGATGTGTCTGGTCTACACTCACCCTAGAAGTGTCTGGTCTACACTCATCCTAGATATATCTGGTCTAGTCTACAATTACCCTAAATGTGTCTGGTCTACACTCACCCTAGATATGTCTGGTCTACACTCACCCTAGATGTATCTGGGCTATACTCACCCTAAATGTGTCTGGTCTACACTCACCCTAGATGCGTCTGGTCTACACTCACCCTAGATGTGTCTGGTCTATACTCATCCTAGATATATCTGGTCTGGTCTACAATTACCCTAAATGTGTCTGGTCTACACTCACCCTAGATGGGTCTGGTCTACACTCATCCTAGATATATCTGGTCTGGTCTACAATTACCCTAAATGTGTCTGGTCTACACTCACCCTAGATGTGTCTGGTCTACACTCACCCTAGATGTGTCTGGTCTACACTCACCCTAGATGTGTCTGGTCTACACTCACCCTAAATGTGTCTGGTCTACACTCATCCTAGATGTATCTGGTCTACACTCACCCTAGATGTGTGTGGTCTACACTCACCCTAAATGTGTCTGGTCTACACTCACCCTAAATATGTCTGGTCTACACTCATCCTAGATGTGTCTGGTCTATACTCACCCTAGATGTGTCTGGTCTACACTCACCCTAAATGTGTCTGGTCTACACTCACCCTAGATGTATCTGGTCTACACTCACCCTA